AAAGCGATTTTTTGCACCTTTTCACCGAGTATGTAATAAAAAAAATTCCCAAACATACCAAAAGGGCCTTGAAGAGGATTGATTCAGGTTTTCAAAATCCATCTTCCGCTCGCTGTACAATCATTATTCATGAGATATCGATGATCAAAAAAAAAGGTGACTTTTCACTCAATTGCCGATATATCAATGAGAAATAATCGTACAGAAAGTAAAAAACTCAAATTGAAGATGATGAATCAGGCTGGCATTTCTCTGAGCCCAAAAATTGCAAAAATTTTTCCTTGCATTATTTCTTTTGATTGTGCCGAGAGTGATGCTCAAAAAAAATGTTCATCTCAAAATTAGAATTTTCAAGCTTCAAGACGCTTCTTTTTTTATAATAGTTACAGCCTTTTAAAAATCACTAAAAAAATTGGAAATTTGTCTGTTCCTTTAATTTTTTTGCTGAGTTTAGATTAATTTTCACTTTGCGTATTGCAGCATCGGTTTAGTGCAACAAGATTTCCCTGTCCCTTGGGATGTTGTTATAAGGCGAACTCCACTGTAGTTTATTTTAAAAAAACTTGGTAACAACGTAGTTTCCAAAATTGTGTCCCAACCATTAACAGAAAATCTTAAAGTTTTTTTTATTAAAATTAAATTCAGGCGATAGTTAACAAATTTACAAATACAATACAAAACAGTTGTAAATTCGGAGATTTTTAGAACCAAAGATTTTGAATTTACAGTGAACGTTCAAACTTGAAAATTTAGTTATTCCAGTTACCTAGGTATTCTTATAAAATAATGATTAGCCAGTGTTCGTACACAATCTAAATATAAAAATATATTTAATCAATGCACAATCTTGGTTACATCACACTTCAGCCTTATTAGTAGAGATAAATGAGTATTGTAGGCGTAATGGTAAATAGAATCAATAACATTTGCTTCAGCGTTGAAAATTGCAATAAAATTGATGATAATGTCATATCTAACGAGTAGGTATAACCGTTTACAAGGGCAATAAAAGTCTTTGAATACCTGTCAACAGCTATCTTCTGTTTATTTTATTCACTTTTCATTTGTTTTTGTGTTTATACAAACTCGAATTCCTACCTGATAGGTTTCATGAGCCGGATTCCGGATTTTTTTAGTTTTTGGCGTTTAAAAATACACCAAAATTTAATCTGCGTATAAGCTACCTACTAGCGCTCTATGTAAAACTTAACACAACATCCATGTGTTAAAAAACAATGATCGGCTAGTTCCTATCTGAAAAGTCTGTAATTCAAAAAGTAGGTATGACACAAAAATTCTCAAATATCATTTTATTTTTACAAAAGTTAGGCACTGCTTCGCCACGTGCACTTACATAATAAGGATTGCGTCAAAATCGCAAACAACTATTTTTAAACAATACTTGACAAATTTTCTGGACAAAAATAAAAAACAAAATTCCATACAATTATCAAGAAAATATGAGTATAATAAACAAAATATTCTGAAAAACATGAAATATACTTGCGAACCAATAATTATTTTTAACACACTTTTGTTTCGTTTCCAAAGCATCGTGAATGGTTTATACCTTCCAGAAAAAAACTTTAATTTTAAATCTAAACGTGCATTTTTTAAATATATATCCGGTGATTCAATCCACAGCACGTAATATTTGTATTTTATGTACCAGCCGCCTTTACGAAATATTTTGACGCAGTTGTGAGTAGATAAATAGAGAATATCTCTTAAAAATAACTTTCGGATTCGATAAATGAATCACACGTTTTTCTCGTATCTATATTTTCATGTGGTCACGGGAAGGGACACATCATTATTTTTAACTTGAGCGTATGAATGGTGCTACACTTGGATCAAAATCAAAAAAATCTAAAAATAACCTGAACTTATTTCTTTTATCTAGATTGTTCTGTATTAGAATTGTTTTAACGTGCTTCTTTTCATGTGTATTTAGACTAGAAATACTTCTGAATAAAAATTTATCAGAAAATTTACAAGTCTGTTGAGGTTGAGGAAAATACATTTTTTCAGTTTGAAATTAATTACCCTATCAATCAATTATACGATCAAAAAGCTATTATACTGACGTCTTAACTGTTGTGACAGTTTTTTTCATAACATTTTTATTTGTTCCGGTTTTCAGTTACTTCTATTGTGGTTGATAAGCAGCCAACCGAAAAATTTCTTGATCTATTATAATAGACCTATTTAGTAGAGACGTCACATACACCAAATAATAGGCAACCCAATAATCCATGGTGCACATTAGCTGTATTCTTTTAACCAATTTTAACAGAGACTACAGATACTTACTTTATCTTATAAAAGTACTTGTTCTTTTTACATTGATAAGCTTGCTTAAAACTGAGAATAACTAAGAATTTTAGAAACCCCTCTTTCCCCAACTAAGCTAGCTTTTTAAAATGCTTACTAATCTGAAACCATGAATCTATAAATGTATTCTTTTTAGAGTCTTTTTTACTTCACTTCGTCTTAGCTAAATTAATCTTAGTCTCACAAGTAAGAAAATTATTTAGTAAAAAGAATACAACTATTATCATGAAGAATTTCTAAATATTTTTACTAGATCGATTTTCGACCTTATGTACTTTGGACATAAGTCATGAATATTTAAGAAGTTTCAATCCCCAAGTGACAAACTAATAGAATTATAGAATTTATATATTTAAATTTATAGAACAATATTGACTTTTATATTAATTAATAAATTAAAATTATATCAATACTACTGAGCGTGCGCATTAAAGATAATTTCATGTAAGCGAAGTAGCCCTAAATTATATACTTAGTCTAGAAGTAGCCTCGCAACAGGATATCATTCAAGGAAAGTTTGGTTATGGTTAAGAGTGCATCTGTAATAAACCACTTGAAGAAAAAACACTCGATAAACACACTGACAGTACAACACCAAGAAATACAATAACGATACTTAGGCCCAAATTCATAGATCTCACTAAAGTTCCGCTCACACTTATCTCATACTAAACTCACCCTAATCGTATTCATAAACAATTCTAATTCAATGAGTCACTTAAATCGTACTCAAATTGCCCTCACAATTGAGTGCTAGGTTAGTGACATATTAGTGGTGTCTGACGTGTGCTTATATATTCCTAATTTATTAATTTTGTGGTTTCATAATATTCTAGCAGTATATTTTACAAATAATTAAGTCCAGGTATTCAATAAAGGATATTCTATACGTGAACGCTATATAAATTATAATTATTTTTTTTTAAATTATTTCTGTTACATACTTCATAAATGATTGCTTGTCACTCATTCTAATCTATATGAAGTATATAGTAGGGAAAATGAACTAAATATTACTAACTACTAACTAATTATTACTTGGAATATATGAGGATCGTTTTTACCTGGATAAATAATTAGACCTTTTGATATTCATTATTTATTATTTAAATGTAACTTATTATGTATATATTTTCAACGTCAGTTATTCAAATTCAAAATAAAGAAATACTGTGACATTAGGTTTCCACTAATGACATATTTTTGGTAATATTTGAGGAGCCAACTGTTTCCTTATCTAGTAATTTGTGGTTTAATGCACACTCAAGTTAGTGACTCATTTATACACATTTCTGAATACCAGAATTGAGAATGATATGAGGGCACCCTAAGTTGAGTGAAGCATAAGTTTGAGATGAGTGAAAGGTTAGTATAGATTTAGGGAAGTCTCTGAATTTGGCCCTTAGAGAGAACTAGAAAATGCCAAGACTAAACAAAACAAGAGAAGATACGCTAATGATGACAGCGATAAAATATCAACAACAGCTCACCTGCGTATGAGGCTACTCTTTCCGAGCATGAGCATTAGGAATAACACGGCAAATGTTAAATTTCTAAATCCTTGTAAAAATGAATTAATTTGAAGTTATTCATTTTTGTAATATGTATGTAAATAGTACACAAGGGTCAGATTCGGTCTGTACAATTTCAACTATGACAATTTGTTGACCTAAATATGTGACGTCACTCTAAAAGAGTATATTCCTTACATCAAAATTTACTGTTATAATTATTCTTAATAAATTTGGATATTTCGATTATTTATTCCAAAGTGATTTTCAGATTTATTTTTATGTTGATGCTATTAGGTATTATAATATTTTATACAATACTTTTCCAATCGTTTGTGTATATAGGACTTGAAACATTAAATACGATTGTGAAATAAAAATAACTTCAGATAAAGGAGTATGTACAAGTTATTATTCCTCAGCAAATGTAAGTTTTCACTTCCTTAGTATTAATAAATTAAATAACGAATGAAATAAATATTTGTAACGCAATTATTGTAAGAAGTTTTTCTTAAGAGCTTATTTATCTTGTCTTTATTGTATATATTACGCTAAAATATATATTTATAGGACATTGAAAGAAATAATTGCATTTTAAATATTTCCCATTTGCTGCAATGAAGGCAAACTGAAAATATCACCAGCGAAACCAAGACACGGAATTACTGAAACTAAAAAAGTTGCTCTGTACCGTGTTATTTTGTCATCTGATGTTAATTAAATTTGTTCATATAGTTAATTTACAAACATTTAGGTTCAGAACTGTGTTAAATATGTATATTCTTACTGATATCTATGAACATGTATTAAAACATCTGAAGACGTCAGTGGTGCCTAATAGTTTCATTATTATTTTGAGAAATTTTCCAAAATTTTGTTCTTTATTTGGAAAAATCTGAAAAAATACTCTTTGACGATTCAAATTATTTCTATGATGTGTTTTTAGATAAAACTGAGGATATTGGGAAAAGATTATAGAGAATAATTAGTTTCTATTACATTTTATTCTACAAGTTTCAAACACCAATACCTACAGACTTATATACGTAAAAGGTTAAGTGATGCTTTATGTCGATAGGGGCTTCGGTCAAATGTCCTTTTTGATCTTTTCAAGGATTTTACATATTTATATAATTAAAAAATGTTTTTTTTCAGGTGGTGATCGTGGGCAATGGTGGAGTAGGAAAGTCTAGTATGATCCAAAGGTATTGCAACGGTACGTTCACGAAAGATTACAAGAAAACAATAGGAGTCGACTTTCTGGAAAGGCAGATAGAGTTAGTATTTCATTTGGCTTTTAAATTTATAGATAATAGTTTCAATATACAGAATTGCTAAATATTTTTTCTTTCATTCCACCAATTAGGACCCTACTAAACTGTGAGTCATTACAGCTGTTGGTATATTCAACATAAATGACTCTTATTTCGATATGAATCCTTTGTAAATACTCTGTTAATAGGAATATGAGATCTAAATTCCATTTCCAAGTGGATTTTTAGAAGAAAAAAAACGATAATAAGAAATCGCTAAATCCATTGACTTTTTTTAGAACCATTTGATCCAAATAAGGCTACTGCAAGTTTTACAACAGCTGCAAATTTCATTTTCACACTCGTAAAAACAAATTTTAAGCCATCTTTGCAACACTTTCCTCATATGTGGAGCTGTCATAATTAGTCGCGCATCAAACATATTATTAGATTTATGTCATTGTATCATTGTGAAACACGTAAATTGATTTGCACATCGTTGCAATCGGTTCCACAATCTGGATGGGATCCCTTATAGATCGCATCATTAGGTATGTTTCTGCACTTGTTTCAACGAAACTTATTCGCGGCGATGATAAAATATCTTAATCTGAAGAGAACGATCGTTCGACATCTACTGATGTAATATTTCCATAATTAGGTAAATAATCTACTTCCAAGCTGGTCCAACATGGTAAAATTCTTTTTCATTCCAAAAAATTTATCTCTGTTTTTGTTTTTAGTTTTTGTTTTTTTTTTAGTCGGTATAGTATGAATTGTTTGCTGTTTTTTTAGCACCAACTACGCTCGACATAATTATACACAATTTTGCATCAAACGGCAACAAAAATCGTAAAAGAAATCGTTCTATTACAGGGAAATCGGCGACTAAACCGACAGCTAGGCAGCTCGCGTGGCTGACTGACGAAGCCAATGGCTAGTGGACAGATTGTGACAGCTCTACTCATATGCATATAGTAAGCGTACTAAGTTATCACATATATTGATATGAAAATATAGATTCCTTTCAATTATATTAATTTAATTGGTCTATACCTAAGTAGGTTAATTTGTCTCTGTATCTATTAGTTTAGCACTTTCAGTGTCTATCGTATGGTATCTAATAATCACACTATAACAGTGTGTCCGGAAATTCATGCAACAAAATTTGGTCACAAATTCCTAAGACAAATTTAGGAGACCCGTATTTTTTCTTTTTGCCAAGTGGCCCCCTCTTTCGGAGTTACAGCCCCCTGAAGTCCGCCCCTAAGAATATTTTTTTTTTATATCTCAGAACCCTGTTGTACGAGATTCACTAAATTTGGTACACAGGGGTTTTATGACATGTGGAATCTGATGGTGCTACGTTTTTTGGCGGGGAACCCTCTTAAGACAATTTTTCGTGGGCCCCCTCGTCTTTGGAGCCAAAAAAATTTAGTCGCATATTTAAATTTCTTAAAAATTATCAGTACACTAGAAAGCCATTAAATTTAGAAACTTTTTGTCTCTTTATACTTTTTTTTGTAAAACGCAATGTTTTCGAGAAAAACGTAAAAATGTGATCGAATGCATATCGTGATTCGCCATTTTCCTCAGAAACATTGCGTTTTACTAAACAAATGTCAAGAGACAAAAAAGTTTCTAAATTCAATTGCTTTCTAGCTAACTAACAATTTTAAAAACAAATCAAATTGGAGACCAAATTTTTCTGGTTCCAAAGACAAGGGGGCCCACGAAAAAGTGTCTTAAGGGGGTTTCTCGACAAAAAGCATAGTATTGTGAGATTCCACATGTCATAAATCCCCTGTGTATCAAATTTAGTGATTCTCGTACAACATTGTTTTGAAATATAAAAAAGACTTCTTAGGGGCAGATTTCGGGGGGCTGTAGCTCGGAAAGAGGGGGGCCAGTTGGCAAAAAGAAAAAATACGTTTCCCCTAAATTTGTCTTAAGAATCTATGACCAAATTTTGTTACATGAATTTCGGGACATATATGATAAAAATTCACAAATTATAACGGAAATAAAACAAACACGAAAATTATTTGCAGATAACAGGAAATAAACACTTTGGTCAGTAGCCACGCCTATTTGGTCACGTGTCGAAATATTTTTTTTATTTAATTTATTATTACTTTTTTATTTATGAACTTTTGTCCCTATTATCATGCTTTCCTGTAGTTTTTTCTTCCCTTTCATTAGTTGTCACTCTTAGATAATGACATTTTTCTACTTTTCCAAAATTACTAAAATCAGATTATCTATACAGGGTGTTAAAAAAAGATTGTAAAATATTTCAGGAGGTAATAGTATGAACCAAAATAAGCAGAAAAGTCTTAATAAACATGGGTCCGCAAAGTAACGGTTGCGGAGATATGGACCACTATTCGTTTTTCAAACATTTTATTTTATTAGGAATAAACCGACAAAGGAAGCTTTTAACAAACAAAAAACAAAGTTACAGAAGATGTTCAAAGTGCCCTCCGTCCATTTCCAAGCAGGCACGACATCTTCGTCTCAACGATATTCGAACTCTTTCGAAAACACCCTCCTTGGTTTGGATTTCTTGACACTTTTGATTAATCCGTAGCTGCAGCTCTTCCAGGCTATTTACAGGAGTACCATACACTAATGTCTTCAAATATCCCCAAACAAAGAAATCTAGAGGGTTCAGATCAGGCGATCTTGGAGGCCATAAAACAGGTCCGGCCCTTCCTACCCATCTATGTGGAAAAGTTTGGTGTAAATGCTCTCTAACGGCCATGGAAAAATGAGCTGGAGCACCATCATGCTGGAACCACATTTGTTGCCTCTGATTCAAAGGAATGTCTTCCAAAAACTCATACAGTGTGTTCTGCAGAAAGTTGAGGTAAGCAGCGCCTGTTAATCGGTTTGGTAAAACAACAGGACCTAGAAACCTGTCACCTACAATACCCATCCAAATGTTTAATGAAAAACGTGCCTGATGTCCAGATTCTATTAGAGCATGAGGATTTTCGTCGGCCCAAATATGCGTATTGTGAAAATTAAACACTCCATTTCTTGTGAACCCGGCCTCATCAGTAAAAAGAATGTTTGCAAGAAAACGAGGGTCTTCAGCATCATGACGTAGAAACCAGCGGCAAAAAACCAAACGTGCTTGATGATCATTTATTGGATTTAAGGCCTGTACTCGTTGCACATGGTATGGATAAAGCAGTTGCTCGTGAAGGATTCTCCAAACAAGAGGACCACTAATTCCTACCTCGGCTGATATTCTCCGCACACTCGTACCTGGATTCTGCTCTACCAGTGCTAGAATTTCTTCTTCTGCTCTAGGAGTGGATACCGACCTTGGTCTTCCGGATAAATGGCACTGTTTGCTCAAGGAACCGGTATCACGCAATCTTTGGTGAATTCTTCCAAACATGCGTTGTGAAGGAATCTGGCGATTTGGATAAGCGTCAACATAAAGACGTCGCGCTTCGGTGGCGTTCCCATTAGCACGACCATACATGAAATGCATGTCTGTTAATTCTGCGTTAGAGTAACCAGCCATAGCGAAAGAAAACTTGTGCACTGAGAACAACTGTCAAATACGTACTGTTTATTTCACTAAACATCAACCAACTATTATAAGAAAATACACAACGTTTTTGCAAAATAAAAAAAGGGGCTAAAAAACATAAAACATTCCATATCTCCGCAACCGTTACTTTGCGGACCCATGTTTATCGAGACTTTTCTGCTTATTTTGGTTCATACTATTACCTTCTTAAATATTTTACACTCTTTTTTTAACACCCTGTATAAGTAGCAAATCTAAATATAGAATTGATTAATCCCTGCCTTGCCTATTTGCGGGCGCTATTTTACTTCAAATCCCAGTTCTTGGAAGGCAATTTCCACCCACCGAAAAAGACTAAGTGACCTCCGCTTTTCAGAGTAGACGGAGAAGAGGTGCGGCTCATGCTGTGGGACACCGCGGGCCAGGAGGAGTTCGACGCCATCACCAAGGCGTACTACCGGGGCGCCCAGGCGTGCGTGCTTGCCTTCTCCACCACCGACAGAGACTCCTTTGAGGCCGCGCACTCGTGGAAGCTGAAGGTAATTAGCAATTACCTCGTTATCGACGTTAATGTTGCGAGCCGTCTGCCGACCGCAAGCGTAGCGGTCATCGCTTGCTACTCCATTTTTTTAGTCTGAGTAATGGCCTAATGGCCTGGTGCATTTTAGTTAAGGCGGAGCGTTAAGTGACTGCTGATTGAATGTTTTCAGTAAGGGTTAAGCAATACAGGATGTTTCTTAAGTACATGCATTCCGATTACGATAATAAATGGGATGAGTCTTTAAGTTATTTTAAGGGAAACGAAATAAACGTACCTAATATGCAGGATGGGAAGGTGATTCCTTTTTAAAAATTAAGGGGAGTCTTTCATGTAAAACAAATCTTTCCGCCCTTTCTGTGTGGATTTATAGCCCATCAAACAAAGAGAAAAATGTTGCTTTTAATTTTTCCTTAAATATGAAGAAAGTTACAAAAATTAAAGTATATGCTTTTTCCTTACTATCAAATAGGACCTATTATTTATCCAGATCGTGTTATTCCGCTTCATACGATGTTTGGTCATTTACATCAGCGTCTTGATGAAACAGGGAATTAAAAAAAACGTACCGTTATAAAAAAGCATCCCCAAACAATTACTCCTCAAATTGAAAATGTGCTTAATAAAAAGGAGGATAGTCCTACAGCATCAAACACTAGGAAGATTACTCACACGTTGCTCCGATTGGCTCATTCTTTCGTCCAGGTCAACTGAAGATGATTTCTTAAAGAGACTGTTTAAAGAGGTCCCGATTTTGTTAAGACAACCAATGTTGTTTATTTACCAAGAGGTTCAAGCTCATTTCAGTTTGGTTCCCCAGCAGTATTTCGATGTTGGCAATCATTGGCTAGGTACAGAAGGAGCACAACCTTGTCCTCCATGTTCCCCAGACTTAAACCCACTCGATTTCTTTATCTGGAGATATCTTAAACAATTGATTTATACAACGGCAATTAAAAATTTGGAGGAATTACGGAATCATACATACTGTTGCGACTTGTGGGACAATTCAAAATGTTTGCAGACTGTTGGCTGCAAACATTTTTGAACGTGTTCGCCAATCAATGCATAGCAAGATAGAAGTTTGTAATGAAATTGAAGCTCGATATTTCCAACTGTTTTTGTAATGTATTTAATATTATTTAAATAAATTGTAAGAAAGGAAGTTTGTTTCTAAAAAAACGGAACATTTTAATGAAAAAATGCATGATGGAGAAAAGTTCATGTGAACCAAGTTTTTGAATGGCATTTTTGAATTGCAATTTTTCAACTCCTTAAGAAGATCCAATGAAAAACCATTAAAGTTTGCAATTTCAAACCTCTTTCGAGGACCGTGTAGGATATCGCTGTAGGAAAGTGGTTGATTACAAAAAGTAATATCCCAAACTACATGAAACTATGAGAAATATAATAAAAACTGCTTTTTTCTACCCATTTAAAGAAGTGTAACACAGATAGCAAACTTTTTGGAAATAAGTTTATAAGATCCCCCTTACTTTTTAACAAGGAACCGCTTTAGTTTTTTGCAATATTAAAGAAACACCTCTGTATATTTACACACCTACCATACGCAGATGTAATCTGCAATATAACTAATAATTTGCAAATAATAGACACTAAAATTGGCTTTTCCTACATTCATTTAAATACCTTTAAGAATTCTTGGAATTCAGTTACTGTTAGCAGAACCTGAACTCTTGAGATAAGTGTTGTTTACCTATCGAGAATGTTCTTTTCTTTACTGATATTAGTGATATTAAACAAGTAGCTGTTGTTTCTTATTTAAATATATAAGTATTCAATATATTTTTTTCCATATAGGACATTGTTTTTTTATATTACGAGAATAAATTAAATAAGAATATAAAATCGTGATAGGTAGGTACTTAAAGTTACATCATTTACTTTTTTCCATCCACAACGTATTCTAGCTGCATAAAATTAATACAATTATAATAACACAGCGAGTCTCTAAGGTGACATAAATTTAATAAAGTCAATAAAGTCAGACAACGAAGTAGATTTATTTTAATGCAATGCGCTTGTTTCTATACTATTTACGAAAAGCTCCAGTCAATTAACCTTCTCAGCACGAATCAACCAGTATTGTGTACTGGGTGTAATAATGCAATGTGCCTACAATCAAGGAACGTTTTACTTGTCCTCATTTAAGAATATCTTCTCATAAAAACAATAACCTTTCCCTATATTCTGAGATATGCAGTCTATTAGCAGTTTAAAATAAAATATTGGAATGATAATTTGCATGCACATGTAAATAAAATGTCAGTTGGTTTCCTATAAACACTTCTTTCTAAAGAATTACTATTTTTTAATTAAAATATCTAGAAAGTGTATCATATTATTGTTTTCTATTTCTAAAGTAAATTTATGGTCCAGTCACTTAAGCATTTCGGTTACCTACCAATCTTTTCGGATGGAATGCATTGACGTGAAATTTGAACTGTAGCTAGGGAATAGCCCAAGAAACAAAAGTTATATAGTGCCGATAAGTGCATTTACCCTAGAGGTGGATGCCACCTCTTCTGAATGGTGGGAATTTTTTTATTAAAAGTAACCTCACGATTCGATAGAGAGACGAATTCTAAGCAAATAATGCTCTATGTGAATTTTTTGTAGTCAATACTTTTTGAGTTATTTGCGCCTAAACATGTTCGTTTTTAGCAAAAATGGAGGCAATTAAATAACAAAGAAATTGCTTTTTTTATTTTTGCAGGTGTTATAGAACCCCAGTTATGACTCCCAGAAGTTGAAGTCAATTTCGAAGATAGCTATAATCGAAACGTTCAACGTCCTGTAGCGGAAAAATTAAAGGTTTTTCGAAGAAAACTTGTATTACACTTATTAAAGTTCTTGAAGACCTTTATATTGAGTGGTGGTAAAAGTCGTTAGCATGAAAACTATTGAAGTTACAATATAAATAAAATGACTGTCTCGATTTTTGAGAAAAAAAATCGGTATTAAATTAATGACGACGGAAAAAAAATTAAACGTATTCCTTCTGCAATTTAGGTACTTTATTTATGTATTAACACTAGATTCTGGGAATTTGAACGATGAGCTTGTATGCAAATTTTCAGGAAAATCCATGCTATCCGAAAAAATTGGGAGCTTCTACCTTATTTTCGCCTTCAGCGACTGGACTATTAATTGTTTATAATTTGTTAATACTATTTAAAAATATATTTAATTCTTCCTTCCTTTCAACACCGTTTTCTTCAAGACATTGCTTTTGACACTTATTTTAATTAAAATAAATATGAGAAAAAACGAAAACTATACTACAAATAAGTAATTCATTATTTATATAATCAGTGGCTTCTTAAAAGTTACAAACAAGTTTCTACTATGTTAAAAATTGATTTTTTTTATATTTTTTCAGGTTGAAAACGAGTGCGGTGAAATTCCAACTGTGATCGTACAAAATAAAATAGATCTTATGGAACAAAGTGTTGTTAATCCGTAAGTATTTTTTTTATTACAACAATAACCCAATGTTGTTCCATCAACATAAAAAGAATTAAAAGAAAAAACCCATAAATTGTGAGTGAATTACTATTTTTGATAGAATGTACATAAAATGTTTCGTAAAGATTCTATGAAAAATCTTTACAAACTTTTTAAATATAGTTTTCGTAATGGTGTCACAGTATGTAGAACGAAGTGGACTAAATTCGATGGAATTTAGGGTAAATTGAATGTAATGATGAAAAAAAAAGCAGTGGTGCAAATTCAAGCTGGTTTTCTCTTACTCTCCCAAAGATGCAAAATTTTCTTCAGAAAATGGCACTAATGAACTAATCTCTATATCCCGTAGTAAGTGCAGGACTGAAAAATGAAGAAAACTTTTTTAATATATCTACTTCTTTGAGTAGAAGAAAAAATCATAAGCTCGTCCCAATTTTAAGTTTGACATAAAACCTGCCGCGAAATCTCATCGAATTTGGTCCACATTCTACAGTTTTTTTTCTTGATCGTGACCTTTCCATATAATTTTTTTACTGACACCTACCGACAGTACAAATTATCATTTTGATGCATTCCAGAGAAGAGGCTGACTTGCTGGCCCGTGCCCTAGGCTGCCGTCTGCTGCGGACGTCCGTCAAAGAGGATGTGAACGTGGCGGCCGTCTTCAGGCACTTGGCAGCAAGATGCCTGGCAGATCTTCGGGATCCACGAGACTGTGACTACTTCACATCGCCCACGCCTCACCATCCCAATTCCCTCACCATTAGTAAGTTGTTTCATCTCATATCTAACGTTTTATCTAATTCAGGGTCGTAGCTAGTGGGCGATGCCGACCCTGCTCATCTTAAAAAAATTTCGCTGCTGCGGCCCTGATTTAATAAAATAATTTTTAACATGCAGCCATAAAAGTAACTCATTTGATTTTCCCTTGATTATTTAAAAAGTTTTATATGAATTTCAGGTGCCTTTAGCCCTAGTCATTCTTCCAAAAACCACAACGGAACAATAGTTTTGAGACCTAACAAACACAAAAAGAAGAAAAACGTTTTAAAAAATGCCTGTAGAATTTTATGAAATATGGTTATTTTATTTTGTGTGGAAATATATGTAAAGACTGTGTATAATATATTAATAACTGTATAAGTATATACTGTGTGTTTCTTTAAGTCCTTTAATGTGTTGAATGTCTCTGCGAAGAGTGTCTTTTGTTATTTTATGTATATTTTGTCCAACTAGGCCAATCGGTGAAGTGCTAATATATTTTAACTAATATGTCTTGTATCTATTTCAAATCCATGATATGGTGCAGCTACTGTGTTCGGTCATAGTGTGAGACAAATTAAAAGAGTACAGTGTAATTTTGTTATAATAAATTCTTGTTGTATTGTGGCAAATGTTAGCTAGTTTTTAAATAGCTACAATAGAGGATAAACACAATAATGAGTGATTACCTTTATATATTCCCTAATTTCTTAACATTTTTCAGATTGATATTTCATAATATAGCTGTGTTCATTGGTTATTATATTACGATCAATTAATCAGTATCCTAAAGTATAATTCCTTAAATGTGAATATAAACTAACCATTTTGTGTTTTAGTTGTAAAGTTTGTATGATTTTAATTTAATAAAATGTTATTTAAAAAAATATGTCATGTATTTAATTAAACCAAATTCACCTGATTCTAATCTAATTTATAGATACTAATTAAGTCATATAATGTTCTGAACCATAAAGTGTATTACTTTAACATCACTTCTGTTGCAATTTCCAGATTTTTTCAGAAATAATTTGAGATACTTGTGGGAATTTAGTTTTTTTTTCTTCTGCTCGCTTTGGGTATTTGATTTATTTCACCAAGGTGCAGAATTAACATTTGATATAATTCAAGAACATAGAAGTGGTAAAATATGTACCACACGATGAGTTGGAAGAAAATTTTAGTCAGGGATAATTAAAACTAATTTTAATTTGATAAAATGCAGGTATTTATTAATTCCAATCAGAATTTTACAGAGCATTATTCACTTATAAAAAATATATTAGTATTACGTACCTACGCTTGTACTATATTCGAATATTTTGGCCTTATATATAACACTATTTGAGCTTTAAATAATTCATATAGGGTGTCCTAGAAAGGCTGGAGCAACATTTAATCAACAGAATCCTAGGACCAAATAAAATTTTTTAGATCAAGTTATCTATATTATAGAAAAGTTATCACCTGCTCAGATAAAGCTGCTGATTGTGGTTCCACGAAATAGCATATTTTTAAATTATTTTAGTTATTGACTTTTTTGGGTACTCATCCTTGTTTATTTCATGGAATGTAAGAACATATAATATACAAAATATATATATTTTTTTCAAGAATGTAATTTTTATATTTCCATAAATAGTTCTATGAATAAAAAACAAAAAAATTAACATAATTTCTAAAACGTTTTCTAAGGATAATGCAGCTATTGTCCTCAATGTATTTTTTATATCCTTATTAAATTATTCTTAGGACACAGAATAACGTTCAGGACACATTGTATTGTATTTAACAAATATAGTATACTTGTACCAAATCAAAGCTCTAACTGTTTCGTGATACCACAGTCACAGGTTACATCTCAGTAGCCCTGGAGTTTGTTCTACATGCAGGTAAATTGATATTGGATCTTGCAGCATTTCGACTTTTCTGGGATACCCCGTCTAGTGAGATTTACAGCAAGTCTTTGTGCAGCAGGTACATATTTTAGAGGACTTGAATGTTTAGATACTATATTGGTAATTAAATATTTAATAATAATCACTGTACCACGAAAACTTTAATTAATATGCAGCAATACATCCCATATTCAAATTCGAGTAGGTTATAATAATTAAAATATTTCTTGACAGATAAAATAAGGTGCTTACGTATATGTATTTTGGTCCCAAAATATTTAAATAACTAACATATTTATGAATATAGATGTATCACTTCTAAAAACAAAATAACACCAACTCTTTACTGAAAGTTCAAAGTTACCTCAAATTAGGTACAAAAAATGTGGTGACAAGATTTCAAAATAGATGAATAAAACAGGATAATAAATGTTGTAGAAACTTTAGTCAAAAGCGCTCAAGATTAGTAATTTATAAAGAAACTAAAGTATTTGAACATAAAAATAAATACCTGAATTGTAATTTAAAATAAATATATTGGGTAGGTAATTTTACAGGGTGATTTTTTTAACCTGAAACTATCTCGAGAAATAAGCACTCTACAAAAAAAATTTTCATAATCAAAATTTAATCACTTCACAAAGGGAATTTATTACTGCTAAAATTAGTCCCTTTTCCTCCTTGTATTTGAACGGCAAAAAGTACGTACGATTTGACTAAAACATTTTTTTAGATTCATGATAGATGGAGCTGTAATAGACAAAATTCAACTTTTTCAATTTCTCCTAGTGAACCTATGCAGACGATTCCGCAATACGTTTGCAATAAAAAATACCACGTTATCATTGTAAATAACAAAATTAGTTTTAAAATAAATTTTATTTCTCAAATTTTCAATTACTGAAAAATGACTTGTCAAGAAACTACTATTATAGTAACCCAGGAACAGGCGTCCTTTTTGGGATACTTGATTAAAGCAATTTCCTTCATTTATGACTTATCGGAATGAATTGGACTGATTAAATTTGCTTTCAAATGAATGTATTTTTTTGTATTTTGTATTAAAGATTCTTTTGTTAAAAATAACTTTTATAAAAATGTTTTATTATGTTTACTTTTAACATTTGTGTTATTTCTTTCTTCATATTTTTTGTGACTGCAAAAACACAAAATAAACCTAGAAAGAAAGAAATGACTTTAAGAAACAAGTCAGGTCAATTAAGTGCCCCAAAGGGAACAAAAAACTACTATGTCGAGGTCATTGTTCCTAGTTACGCTAAAAGTAATTTATCCACCAGCCATTTACATTTCTACAGGTAAAACGGCAATAACTTTCGAGTATTTACATAAAAGTGGTATTTTTATTATAAACAACACATTGCAGAATCGTATACTTACATAAGTTCTCTGTGGGAGAAATGGAGGAAAATTGAATTTCATCGATTACAGTGCCAACTTTCATGAATTGAAAAAAATTTTTCAGACAAATCCTACATACTTTTAACAGTAGAATTCGAATCTGCAATAAAAAATTAAGATTCCTATTTAAAATTTCAAAGTTACCCCCCTCCCCACTTATAAGGGATGGGGGGGAGGGACTAACTTTAGAACTAAAGTATATGATTAAATTTTGATTATTGATATTTTTTCGGAGGTGCTTATTTCTCGAAACATTTGAAAGTATCAGGTTAAAAAAAAACGTTATATGTATTACGTAAACAATTAAATAATCAAATATTTTTGAGATTCTTTTGAGCAATGGCCCACAATTGATTAAGCGTAAACAATACTATATTTTCATAGACAAAAGTGTCCAATACTGAAAATGAAGTAACTGTTAAAACATACGGCAAGATCCTGACGTTTTCTAATTGTCTCACTGAAAAATTGTTCCTATTATTATTTTTATACAGAATACAGAAATTAAAACTGACAATATCTACATAACAGTAGTGGAGATATTCACGTTTATAAAATCTAGTAATACAAACATTTTCCCGGAACTTAATCTATCACTAAATAACGTGGAAGTCCAAGATGAGCTAAAATAAAAACAAATATAATGCAAAATTGTAAAAAGAGAACACTTTTGCAATACTACCTATTTGTTCAAATAATTGTTCTATATAAATCGAACATATACATTTAAAAATATATTATATATTGCAATTAAAATGGAAATATATTCATTACTATTTTGTCAAATTTGTACTACTACATATAACTAATATTATACCAAATAGGTACAAATTGTGAGGTAAAATCATACCTCGCAAAACAAAATATATCAAGTCTCAGCTTCCATCGCTACTATTGCTATTACAGTCATCCATATCTGTTACAGTGAAGCGATTTAACCCCCTTACTATATTATTTCTAAAACCAGGTACCCGTTTGATTCGAGGTAGCAAACTTGGTAACTCGGTTACATATTCAATGACGAAGTCTGGCTTTGGATCGGTCTCCTGTAGTTTGCAGTTGTTGAGAGGCGTCCAAACTGTACCTCCTAATTGCGCCTTGATGCCACCCAAAATGTCGGTCTCTAACTTATCCCCTACCATTATACAATGATGTGGTTCGACGCCCAAATAATCACAGGCTTCATGAAAAATCTTATGATGTGGTTTTTCCCAAGGTAAATCGCCAGATACCAATATTATATCAAAGAATGACTTGAGTTTTAAACGTTCGACTTTTTCCCACTGAGCATTAGACGGACCATTAGTTATTAAACCGACAAAGTAATGTTGCCGCAGGTTTTGTAATAAAACTGTTATTTCAGGTGTTAATGCCAAAAAATGATATCGTAGATTAAGCCACTCTTGGTAAATCGACTCTATAACAATAAATATTTTATTCATTAATACTTACAATGTTTACATAAAATTCCTGGAAATATATTGTATTTATACCAAAATATCTACAATACAAAAATTTAAATAACATTCCATTGTTGACAGTAAGATCGACAGAACAAATTTTTAAAGATAATATTAATTACCTACATTTATTTTACAAGGCAATTAACTGTATCATAGCAACATTCAATTTAATTCAGTCAAATTGTAATTTAAGTATGTCAAATTCCTAGTAAAATACCTTAAAAAAGTCAAAATTCCTGTGCGTATATAAACTTAAAGATACTTCATGAAACTAAGAATCAAACCGTTAATAGGAGAAGAACTAGCTGTGAATGTAGAACCTAATGATACTATTTTTACTATTAAGCAACAAATACAGGAGCAACTAGAAGGATATCCTAGTGATCAACAGAGGCTCTCATTTCAAGGAAAATATCTCAAAAATGAAAAATCTATCGAAAGCTACAAACTAAAAGATGGGAACCTGTTAAAATTGGTAAAGGCTCTAAGAAGTGCCTAAACCACAACAATGCCAAACTCACCACAATTAACAGTTTTTACTTGATCTTAATTATTTCGTAAAGCAAAGAATATTTAATATATTATGGTACCTTTATTCTTTGTTTATTTACTTATTTTATATTCATATTACTTTGTTTTGTGTGGCAAATAATTAAATTAGTACGAAAAAATATGTCTGTTATTATACTTAAATTGAAACAAATAAATAAGACGAATAATAAATGAACACTACTCTAAAATTCAAGATTCGGTCGTGCACAATATTTGTGTGTATATTTGTCTCTCATAACATCTTAACATTACTTGTTATAAATAATAATATAAGGTTATAAATATATTTAAAAAAGACAATATAACAAAAACTAATCACTTCACTCATCATGACATTTCATTTCATACCTTTCAAAATATGAAATCATAAAGCAAGCTGCAAAATTTTCAGTGTTGATCCTGATAAATCCATGTTAGTAAAGGTTGTAACCCTAAGTGGAGATGAACGAATGATAAATGTAGAATCAACGGATAAAATCCTGGTCATAAAAGAAAAGCTTGAGGAAAAGGAAGGAATCCCTCCTGCACAGCAGAGGCTTATCTTTCAGGGAAAACAATTAAAAGATGACAAGACAGTCAATAGTTACAAGTTAAAAGGAGGAACTGTCCTCCACTTGGTAGTGGCTCTGCGGGGAGGCTTACAACAATAGTTATTTTTTTGGAAAACATGTAAAAATAATATCACTCTTCAATAAATCATTAAAACCGTCACTGAGTAAATTTACATAAAACTTTTAGAACAGGTACGTAGTTAATAAATGAGTACAAAATATTTCTTTTTTAAACTTATAGTTAAATTATTTTTCGTTGATATTTGTTCTCTTAGATATTGGTAGAGACACAGGTATTTACAGAGTTTCGCATAAGAACCCAAAATATGGTGATTTAATGCAACTTACCTTTATACTAAGCTGAACCCCTGAGAAGTTATAAGCCTTAAAAGTGAGGTTTCAAATTTCGAAAAAAATTAGTACCTTAAACTTAGAAAAACCAAATTTGGTGTACAATGTGAGTATACCAAGAGCATTAATCGACAGTAAGTAGAGTTCAATTGAAGCATTTTAAAGGGTTGATAAGGGATGATGCACCATTAAAAATGTGACAGAATTTTTTAACCCGTTGGCGGACTTACAAAATTATTACTTTATTTTATGGGGAATTTACTTCTAAAACTTTTCTTACTCGTTAGTTTTCAAAAACTTTGTCATTTTCAACAAAAACACGACTAACTAATAAAACATGTTGTAGCTATTGAAGGTTGCTTTCGCTGTACAGCAAAAATAAAACGCTGTCTCAACGGTACAAATGAACTATTTTTATTGAAAACTAAGCTTGTGAAAAAAATCGTGTTGTCGGTTTGAGTGTTTACTGGAGAGTCGTCTTGGTCGTGTAGAGTCGTTCGCAGAAGTACCTGGTCCTTGGCGTTAATCTGCCGGGGTTGTCTTCCGGGAACTCTATTGAGTCCGGGCAGCGTCAAGCTGGCGCTCTTGACGTTGTACTTAAAAATGGATTAATTACGAACATGTGTACCCACACTGTGTTATTTAAATTCATTGAAAATTCAAAAGTTGGCTATGAATTTAAACATCTAACTTGTCGATCAGGAAAAAAGTTAGAATAAGAATAATTTAATAGAAAGACAAACAATTTAAACAACAACAAGAGTAACATACAATTTGCACTGATAAGTTATAGAAATTGTTCAAAATGATCACCGTTTTCTCTCAGGCATAAATTTATTCTTCATCGAAAATTGAAATCTACTCTATTCAATAACTGCTGATTGTTTCTAATGAATGTGCATTCATCCGTACTGCAATTCCACAATTCTGCTCGAGACGCAACTGGAATACACAAATTCTTTTAATGTTCCCCAAAGAAAGAAGTCACATTTATTGAGGTTTGGTAATCGTAGAGACGAAATTTGTAGGTAATTATTTCCTCTTCCAATCCATTTATTTGGATACTGGTTTAAAAAGTTTCTAACAATATTACTAAAATGAGGGGGTGCTCCGTCATGCATAATCCAATGTTCCAGTCTGAGTTGTAGTGGAACCTCGTCAAGTAGTTCTGGGAGAATGTTTTGGAGAAATTCTAATAATAATAAGTTTCGCCTTTTAGTCGATGATTTTAAATAACACAGCTACAATACGTATTATTAGTTATTCATGTTTTTAAGTCCGTCAACGGGTTAAAAAATTCACATTCTAATGGTGCATCATCCCTTATCAACCCTTTAAAATGCATCAATTCAACTCTACTTACTATCAATTATTGCTCTTGGTACACTCACACCGTGTACCAAATTTGTTTTTTTTAAGTTCAAGTAATCACAGATTTTTTTTCCAAAATTTAAAACCCCACTCTCAAGGCCTGTAACAGCTTAGTATAAAGGTAAGTTGAGTTAAATCACCATATTTTAGGTTCCCCTACATGCCCCTGCTTTGTGTCAGTTCTTATGCAAAACACCCTATATCTAAAAAAATCAAATTGATAAAAACTCTACATTACAGAATAGTAATACAATTTATTAAAATACACATAATCGATACACAGGAATAATATATTTAATATTTCAGTAAAACAGACAAAAAGTGAATTAAAAAGAAATCTAAGGAAAATGTTCACAAGTACAAGTAGAAGATTTTGCACTAACACGTTCTAAGCATTCTCTAATCATTTCAGGATCTGTAGATTCATCTTCATACAAGAATTGTAATTCGCTTTCGGCTGTAGCAGTGTTAGTGTCATCTGTCTCAGGTGGATACTTCTTAATTTTGGTCGTTTTCTGTATAAGGTCAAAAAGAGGTCCATTATCATAAACACTTTGTTCTCCTTCATTCGAATTATCTTTATGGAAGGGCTGATCGTTCTCATCTTTAACTTTGCTAGTAGCGCCTAATTCACTACTTCTTTTCTTAATCATTTCCATTTCGGAAAGGTCAGGGCCGCTTTCTAACCCCACACTTTTTATAGCTTCATTAATTTTTTCTATATAATGATCTAGATCTTTCTTTCTGAAACTTCTTCTAGAAGAACACGGTTCATCTTGTGGAAATGGTTCGGTAAATTTACTTACATATAGCTTTTCGTCCTCTGGAGAAAGAGGAAACGCACTAACATCCCCACATAAAAGAAATGGAATTATAATTCTATTTATACCTTTAAGTGGACTAAAATCTTTGTTGCAAAAGTCTAGATAAGGCTCCATGAGTTTAGGATCAAAACCATCGGGTGGCGTATATTGTCTACAAACAGCAAAAATTTCATTTGCAGAAGTTTTACTACTTTTAGGTCTGAAAAAGTCAACTTCTTTAAATAATGAAGACAATTGGGATTTAAGAAAATCATTATCGCTTTCTTTAAAAATGGCCGCTACTAACGTTCCTCCATTCCGCAGAACATGACAAGTAATATGTATAACAAGCACCATGTGATTTGCCTGAAAGTTTACATCTATGCAATGCAAACCTGTGTGGTCGATAAGTTTACCGCATACTACCAAATCTGCTTTATTTCCATCAAATTGTTTCAAAATTAGTTCTGCTGTAGAATACTGTGCCAAATCTCCATTTATTTGAACAACACCTGAATATGGAGGAATTCCGTAAGCATCAACGGCAACAATTATAACTTCATTGTCTTTGTTGTAATCTGGCTTCTCCTGCGCTTCCAGTCTCTGATGTAATGCAAGATCATTATAGAACAAACAACATTTATCATTCATATAAATAGTCTCCCCCATTGCTAATTTCCTCGAAAGTACTTGAGTCCAAATACCGGGGCTTGCATATAAATCAACTGCTCTTTTAACACCTTTCAATATACCAAATTTCTCATCGATTTGCAAGAGCTTGAAGCAACTTCGGGATCTCCAACCTTGCTCTTTAGCTTTTCTTATATAAGGATCTTGTTTGGATATCGGTTCTTCTAATTCACAGGAATCAACTTCTGTACTCGTTCCTTCCATTTCGCAAAAATCACTTTCTGTACTTGTTCCCTCCATTTTACAAAGTTTTAAAAAATAAGTTATCTAATAAAGAATTAAATGTTATACAAAAAGAAATGGGACAAAATTTTATAGAGCATGTACAGTTACAAAGCAATCTTAATTTTAAATAAGTGATATGTTTCAGCTCAAATCTTGTTTTAAAAAAAAACTGACTTTTTTTGTACTCAACTTCTACAGTTTAACTCGATTTTTTAATCCCAAAAAAAGCTTTTTTATGTTGAAAGATATACTTTATTCTTAAAGTAAAAACATTCCAATATCAAATGTGAATTTGTATTAAATTTTGAGCCTGCATTTCAAAAAAAAAAGAAACTCACTGGCAAATACAGAATTAATTAATCAAAATAATTGCAAGTACAAGTCGAAGAACTGGCAGAAATTCGCATACGTTCTAAACATTCCCTTATCAATTCTGGGTCCGTGTACTCATCTTCGTATAAAAATTGCAGACCACTTTCACTCGATGCACAGTCTGCATCAGATTTCTTATTAGTTTCTTTTTTAATTTTTGTTGTCTTCTGTATAAGATCATACAAAGGTCCGTTATCGAAAATATTATCAGTTTCGAACAATTCATTTCCAAGGAACTGGCGTTCATCTTCATCGGCAACTTCACAACTTGCCGCTTGTGCACCTTTTTCATCAGACATTTCTGCTTCTGTGGGTTCTATACCTGTTCCTAAACCAACACGTTTCACAGCCTCATCCATTTTCTTCAAATAATGTTCCAAATCATCTTTTGAACTATTTTGAAAAGAATAAGGTAATGATATAGGCGGCTGTACTGGTGGCACATATTTATAAGGTTTTTCTCCTTCCAACTGAAGAGGATAGGTAGCATCAGAGTCAAATGCGCTGACGTCTCCACATACAATAAATGGAATTATAACTCTATTTATGCCACTAAGTGTGCTAAAGTTCTTGTTAGAAATATCTAAATACGGCGTTAAAAGTTTTGGATCGAAACCTTCTGGAGGAGAATATTGCCTGCAAACGACAAATGCTTCAATACTGGAATTTCTGGAACTACTGGGTTTAACAACATGGACTTCTTTAAATAGAGACAGTAATTGGTTTGTCAACAAATCATTATCTTTTCCTCTAAAAATTTTTGCCACAAACGTTCCTCCAGGTTTTAGAACATTGCAAGTAATATGTAAAGCACCTAATAATAACTGTGCTTGAATATAAATATCCATACAATGAAGTCCTGTTACATCGGGGGCTCCATCACACACTACCAGTTCTGCTTGATCACCTTCGAAATGTCCAATAATTTCCTGGGCTGTCGAGTACTTTGTAATGTCTCCCTGGATTTGAATAACACCTGGTAAAGGAGACATTGGTTGAAGATCTACGGCTACAATTTTAACATTTTCATTTTTGTTGAACTCTGGTTCTTCTTGTGCTTCCAATCTCTGATGCAGTTCAAGTTCATTATAAAATAAGCAGCATTTGTCCTTTATGTAAATGGTTTCTCCCAAATATAATTTGCGTGAAAGCACTTGACTCCAGCTACCGGGAGCAGCACACAAATCTACAGCTCTAGTAACTCCATCGAAAATATTAAACTTTTCGTCAATTTGTAAAAGCTTGAAAGCGCTTCTGGCCCGCCAGCCTTGTTCTTTAGCTTTTCTATAGTAAATGTCTCGTTTATCTTTAGAAGTCTTGCCCATTTTAACAGGTAACAGTAAAAAAAATTACCAATACAAACTTTTTAACTTCTTAACCTCCAACCTACCAGGTCAATCTTCAAAACTGTCAAAAATTACTGTCATCGCCTTGTCACTTGTCAGACGGAATTGCCAATTGCCAACACTTAAATAACACAATAACCCTAAACTAAATTCTTGGCGCAGAAATTAAAAAATAAATAGGACGAAAGAAGACACATTAAAGGTGGATTAATAATTCTAAGAGGTTTAAAAACACAAATTGATACCTGAAAACGTATGATACTGATCTCCTAGTGCTTGGCTCCACAGGTACTCACGCCACGTGTCCAACTCCATGTCAGGATTATCAGGACATTCTCGGAAAGCCTTCAGGTATGAATTGCATATTTGTGAAGATGTTTCTAAAGGAATTGTATACTTTTCTGTCAATGTTTGACTTAACTGTAAAATCGAAAATACACAGTTAATAATTATTAGTATCTAGTCAACTGGTAGGGGTGTCTTTTAAATAGGATGGAAATAGAATAAAAATTACGCCACAAAATTAGATTCATAAATCAATTCAAAACGATTATGCACTTACGTAGGTGATTTGAAAGAAACCATGCGTTTAAAAAGGCATGGATCATATAGAAACACAGTATGTTTAAGCTTTGAACATATTTCAACCAAACATTTTTGAATCCCAAAATTCAAATACTTAATGAAGTAGTGGGTAGGTGCATAAATGTAAATTTACATTAAAATATCTGCTACGTAGAATATCAAAAATTAGATCCAATATTACGTCCAAATACCACATTCAAATAGATATATTTTTCTAAAACTTTGATCTACGAGTTATATGCCAAGTCATGTTAAACTAATAAGTATACTTAGTGCCAATATACACCCACTTTATTTTTATTTTAAATTAATTTTATCACATTAACTCATTTTTCATTTGGAACTCGAACTATTATTTTCAAAAAATATATATAAATCAGTTACATTTAGTTACAGCAAATTTAAAATCCACCATGAATATTACTACTAAGTGTAAAATAACCAAAATAAAGATGTTATTTTGCCTACAAAATTTCCTACATGTAACAGGTGACATTGAGTTATTTTAAAATACAAATTTGCTAATCTTCAAACAGTCAGTAAAACCACTTATAAATCACTGCCAAATAATAATGAAATTTATAAACGACCACACACGTTTTCATAATTTATTTTTATATATTACATCTTAGAAATATAGAAAACATTTTTTATATATAAAAAAACATACAAAATTTACATAATGCATGGCAAAAATGCACTTTGTACTCAGCAATAAAATAACGAAAACATATGCACAAGCTATGTTAGAAAAGATAAATAGGGAATAATGTGGCACAACCATTATTTTGTTTATAAAATTTAGCTGAACTGATTTAAATCTCATTTATTCGACAAATTAATAAATGCTAATAACAATAAGAACCTAGTAGATACGTATTATATAAATGATAAGAAATGGTTGCCCTCCCACATTACAACCAAAATAAATAATTAACTCGGTAACAAATCGGTAATGTTTTTCCACAATTTAATCACCAAAGAGCTTCTTTCCCAATTCCATCAGCCTGTGATTTCTGCAGACTCTTAAAGCTTCTGCCTTCTTTAAGACCTCTATAACACTTTCATTGGCATCTACTAAGTGACATAAGAAATCTTCATATGCAGACTTTATGTTTGGTGGAAGGGTACCAATTTTAACTTTCTTCAACAACTGTATGATACCTTCAGCCCACCCACTTTCTATTGCAAACTCCGATATCCATGGTATCTGGGCGATGACAGCTGCTAATGTCTGCATTCCCAAGAACCAGAGTTCCATAATTTCCATCCAGTGTTCCTTGTAAGACATGGCAACAACGAGAGCAGTAGGATCATTGGATTCGTCAACAATGTAAGCATTCCAAAGGAAACGGATGGTAGCCTGAATATAACGACATATTGAAAAGTCGTTTTTCTTTACTTTACTGGACAACTGTTTTAATAATAATAAACCGAGAACAGCCAGATTTCCATGCAGCACTAAATTCTCTGGGATATCTTTGAGTTCTGGGAGATTTTCAAAAATAAATTTAAGTAAATTATTAAACACAGCCGATTTCTCGACATATTTTGGTTCCAAAACTGTTAAATTCATCAATATGTTGCAACAGCTTATCATGGCCACCCTGGAATCTTTCATATCTTCTAAAATTTCTGGTGTTAACTCGGGTTTAGGCTGGCTAAGAGCTTTTAACCTCTCCGCTCTAGGTACGGGAGGTCTCTTGTAATGGACGATAGTCCAGTGGAACTCTAAAAACTCCAACAAAACTTTATCCTCATTTTGAGTCAGAATGATCTTCCTAGATTCATCTTCAACGGCCAAGTGACATAGAGCAGGAAGCATAACCCTTAAAACGTCAACACTGCTAAGAGGGTCACGGTCTGTATTTGTAGCAGTTCCTGCCTTTTCTGCAACACGTCTTGCTCTATAAGCATAAAATGTTTCGTTGGCCAATTCTAATATGAACGGTAACAACTGGTAGACTTGAGTGCGCATAGCGGTGGTTTCCTGGGCTAACCATGCAGATAAAACTCTAATCGTAGCGCAAACAAATAGTTTATCTTCCCCGGAAGGTTTGCTTTTATCATTTGAGACTTTAATAAGCAAATTAATAATTGCTGTGAAAGCCCCCTTAAGACCTGTATAAAGTGTTTGCCTCTCCTTTTGGTCCAAATCTAACTGATCGGTCGAAAGGTAATTCATAGACAATTCTAAAATAATGTAGCACGCTGTGATTAAATTTTGATTTGGGGCTGTAGCTTTCAACGTTTTTCCATCTAATTGCATACGTACTTCTATTGCAGCTAGTTGTATTAGGAGTAAGAACATTTGTTTACCTTTTTCTTCATCGGAAAAGAGCCAATCAATGCCGAGAAAATCCAACATACTTGAAGCTAGCAACAGTGCAGGATTTCTCTGTGCTGCACCAATTTTACTTTGTAAAATGTCTGATAAGCCTTTGTATATGCATTGCGGCCACGTCTCACTGGAGGCAGATTCAGCTACAACTTTTCTAGGACAGTTAAAAATAAGTGCATTAAGTACTTCGCATACTTCAAATTTTCTCTTGTCTTGGTCGGTCTCGAAATCGACAGCAATCTTATTTAAAAGAGCATGGACAGCTCTGGGATCTTTTGCTTCCCATGATGTTCCTTGTTTAGCAATCAGCACTGCCATAATAGTTAGAGCTTCGTCAGATTGAAAACTGCCTTGAGAATAAATTTCACTTAGTTTGTCAATACCGTTAGCATCAATAAGAGCTTTTTGTCCAGGAGGGTAAGCAGCAATACCTTTCAGGCAGTTGTAAGCCTCTCCAATTGCCATAAGACTGTCATCATTTTCAGATTCGTCAGCAGCTTTCACAATTTCAAGGAACACCGGTACAAAATCGATCATCTCTTTTTTCGTTGCTAACTCTTCCTCATTACAAAACACTGTGATGATCGATAAAGCTACGGACTTGTATATCGAAGGAGGGCAATCAACAGGAACATCGCTTGTCAACAACAATCTTCGTAAAAAGTCAAAACCAATGGCCTCGAATATTGCTTTCTTCGCTGCAGGGGTGGCATGTTTCCCTTTAACTAGTTTCGTTACCATGAAAAGGGCAGCAAATTTTTCGGTATCACTGGTGGAATTTTTCAAAATATTGCAGCATTTCTTTACTGCGTCAGACACTTCCCCCGACATATTAATGAGCCGGCGCTTGTTTCACTAATTACTGTAATTTACAATCCTACTTAACCGCTAGAAGCTTGCAAACAGACTGCGGCACGCTGCATCTAAACGTAAAGGTTATATTTAGCATCGGCCTCGCTGAGTTTCTATATTTGGCAATTTCTAACGTTTCGTATCGCTTCGTTATTTTTAGATTTCAGTCAGTGACTCCGTAAATTCTAAACCGCGTGCAACACCGTTTTAAATTTAAAAATAATGAGGGAGACATTTTCTTTTTACCCCCGCAATTAAAAGAGCGCATGCGTACGTCAAAAACAGCTGATTTATAAGCAAGCAGACAGAAGTCGACAGAACCGTCTGTCCAAATTTATTGCACCACGGTAAAATTAATATTAATTTAAAAAAACATTAAATAAACACATTATCCTAAATGATTGATCTTTACCTTCTTGCACGCCTTAGCATCTGCTTTTCTGGTGGCTATAAGTGTGTTGTCCAAGTCGAAGAGGATAGCCAATAATTCTGAGTTTTTACGTTCGAATTCCATGTTTCTCGTAGAAAGAGGTATTTAGTACTGACGGTGACGAGACAGCGAGCCCGAGACTGAGTACTGATACTATTGACGATGAAAGTTACGTTCATAGTCCATTAATAAAGATGTCACGTAGTAGAATTTTCCAATGAAATGTCCTTTTAACCCTCTAAATAAACTTTAGTACGTCAACAAACTCCGTGAAGATAACGTAGTGGTGGCGATGAATAGATGGAAAACTCAAATTCAAAATATAAATGTTCATCGAATCTTCTAATTGCTATTACCTAGATGATATGTAGAAGTTTTTACTTATACAATAGTAGATATTTACTTATACAATGGTACTACGTTTTTGATTTTTATTTTTCTAATTTTATGTAAGGAGTCATGAAACTGATGGCAATCCCCCAGATTTAGATAGAATTCTCAAAAATATTGTCAGAATTATATATAGGCATAGACATTTGAAAATTTGAAAATTGAAAATTTAGCCCATAGGTACATTTTTTCAGAGAACGCTCTGTCTCCGGACTAAAATACCTATCGGTAAATTAAACAAATTAGTATAAATAGTTTTAAATAACATACAGCTTTTTGCTTTTACCCAATAATTGACAATTGTCCGAATTTAATGACAAATAAGAACTTACGCTGGACGCCTTTTGTAAGTATAGGCCTTATTTTTATGATATACCTAAGTAGGTACTTCGCGAAAACTATCTACCTATGTATTTGCTGCGTAGACAGAAATTCGATCTCCGTCACTTTATAATTTAGAAAAACACTAGGATTATCGAGGATCTATGTAGCATTAAAGAATTATGTGGTATTAAAAAACAAAGTTTAGAATCGTTCTCCTTGTAGAATTAAAGTAATGTTTAAAAGTCTTATATTTCTTTATAAAAAATGCCTCCCTACGCACTCTTTTACCATTCATCATTCATCTTTTAATTTTTTACATATCTACGGATATTTCATTTGATGAAATAGATTCTCAGATAAATATTATTTTTTTAAATTTGTAAAAGTAGGAAAATGTGTGTTAATTTATATTTATTGATTTTGCCTATCTAAGCTATATTATAACATGCACGTGCGTTGTGATTTGTATGGGTAGTTTAGATTTGTCCTGCGCTGCTTTCTAGTTTTAACATTGGTTTTATTGTTATGTAATTTGTAATTTTAAGAAAATATGGCTTTGTAAGTAAATACGTATTTAATTTAATATATAGGTATGGCATTTATTAATTCTAACATTTGCTATATATTTTAGCCACTGTATACATTTAAAATCAAGTATTGTAATATGGATCTATTATAGTAACTGACAGTCATGGATCTTGGCTTGGGGCTTGGCACACAAATTCAGCAAAACAGGATTATGTGGATATTGTGAAGATCCGGTGAACGGTTAGTGCAATTTCATCAACAGAAATAGATGAGAAAAAAATAATATTTTTCGAATAAATTTGCATCAGTTTAGTATGTGTGCATTGATATCATTTTTATGTCATTTGTGCCGGATAAACATGTGGCCGATGAATGTTTCACGTTTTTACCAGGCATAACCTAAAACACCAGCTTCGCTATTGATTAAGCAAACATTGGATCTTGGATCGGCGCCAGTTTCGAATGAAATGTAAATTATTAGTGGAGACATGTACGAAAATAAGGAGCATCATGGTTTTAAGCACAGAATGGTCTCAAGTGGAAGTAATTGACTTGGTTAATGATGGCTCAGGCCTTGGCTTTGGCATTGTCGGCGGCCGCAGTACCGGTGTTGTCATAAAATCTATACTCCCAGGGGGCATCGCCGATAAAGACCGTCGGTTACAAAGCGGAGACCACATCCTGCAGATAGGGGATGTTTATTTGAAGGGCCTAGCCGCGGACCAGGTCGCAACTGTGTTGAGGCAAGCTGGACCGCAGGTGGTTAAAATTTTTATAAACTACACCAATATGTAAGATTTCACTTCAAATATGTTGCACTTTTTTGTTAGTATAGATGTTTTTGTACTTACTAGTTGATGTGTTAGCAATGTGTATGTTGTACAAATTATCTGAGTCTCTAAAACTTGGAACAGGTATAATTTTTAAAATTATGCAGTTACGCAAGTTGAAATTTTGACTAAGTGTGGTACTCGTATTTTCCAAATCAGAATAATTAATAAAAAATACTCAAAAATAAAGGCAATAGACATTTAGATAAAATTAAATCTCAAAATAATCTAAATCTGTTTATATTTTCACAAATTATATTTCACAAATTTCTTGATAGTTAAATCAATTGAAGTAGATTTACTGGCACAGAAACAATTACACATTTTTGCGTTTTGTAAATGGCCATATTAATCTTAATAAGAATTTTTAAAGAGATTAGGTACCTTGGGAAGGTCATTGCCATTATGTAATTATAATGCCAACGTTTATAACTTTTCTAGTTTTTATTTAGATTTCATATGAAAATAATATATTTTTTAAAAGAAGCAGATGCTTTATGGGTATAAGATTTTTTTTTATATTTTAAAGGCATGAATACACTATTTCAATACATTTTTTCTGAAGTGATTGTCCCTTGTTTTGTGTTTTGTTTTACTTCTCGACACGAAAATGAAGTACCATTAATTTTGTTACAGGTGAGAATGGTTGTAGCACGTCCCATAGAACCCACTTCCACGGATTTTGACACTTTCGGCTGTTCTGCGCCAATAGTTCCCACTAAGATTTTAACCGATCCTGAAGAATTGGACAGGCAGCTGCTACAGAACGGTTACACAACATTCTGCAGTTACACAGAGACTATAGAATGCGTTGAAAATGAACAGGGACCTGAAAATGTGGAAGAGAATTGTGAAATAGAAAAGATAAATGCAGTAAACTCTGTAGATGTAAATTTAAATCAAAATGATAGCACTCCCAACGGTTTGTCACCTGTCGGCTTCAGACAACTGATCGTAACCCCTGTCGATATAGAATACAACTCTGAAACGGAAACGGAGAAATTCACAGTCACGTTGAATAAAGGCGATCAAGGTCTTGGCATAACGATAGCGGGATATGTTTGCGAAAGGGAGGATTTATGTGGAATATTTGTAAAAAGTTTAAGCGAGGGTTCTGAAGCATACAAATGTGGAAACATCAATATAAATGATAGGATTGTTGAAGTGGACGGGCAATCTCTCGCGGACTTTACCAACCACGAGGCAGTTGAGAAATTGAAACAGACGGGATCGGTTGTTAATATAACTTTTGAAAGGTATTTAAGCGGTCCAAAATTTGAGCAGTTGCAAGAGGCTTTGGCCAGTCAGGAGCAAGACCGAGCTGTGAGTCCAGCCTCTCCGTCACTAACAACGTTAAGCTGGATTCCTATAGAAAACTTCGAGGTAAGAATTTTCTCCATTGTGTTCTGCAATATGTGTTACTTTAGACTTATTATTAGAATTATTAAACTATATTGATAAACTACAATGGATAATCATATTGTCCAGTTTAATTTTGTTTTTGTTTAGTTCAGATATTTTGAATAAACAAAATATTTGCCTTAATAATAACATTAATAAATTTGTAGATGATAACAAATTAAATAAATAGTCTAGAGGGCAAGGGATTTGGAATATTTATTATTAACCATACAAATTCCAGATAATGAGGTATTATTTGCTCCAATTACATTTAATCATTATTACTTTATATCTAATAGCTAGTAATTGAGTAATTTTCCATTACGATTTATAATACCAATAAAATAATGTACCTGAAAATACATTTTAATTGTTCAAAATATTGTGAATGTAGCTTTTAAGTCTTATGCAAACTTAAATTGTCGTAGAATATGCATATGCAAATCCAAAAATCTATTTCCTTAGGTTCTAGATTTTTTCAGTTTTTCAGTTATATAAAAATTTGCCTTGAAACCTTTGTTGAATGAAATTTTTTATGAACAGTTCGTGAGTAAAATGCTATTCAACATGAAAAAGATTAAACCTCAGTTCTAACTAGATATGCATATGAGATGTGCTGATTACCAATTTGTAAACATGACACTTAAATAAATTTAGAGTTATACAGGGTATTACACAATAACATGTCAAAAACAGAGAATTGTCTTCCTCATTCAAAATTTAGATTATTTTCTTATAAACATTTGCCTTAGAGCCCTCAATTTTTTAAATATGTAGTGTACAAATAAAAAAATATATCAGATTACAGGAATACAGGAAACAATAAGAGGATATACGAAAACGTTTATGGAAAAGTATATTGCTAAGAATTGAAGAATATATTTTATCAAATCATTTTAACAAATTCTGTATTTATCTAAACATATCTTTAAAAATTATTAATTTGTACCAAAATGATGAAAGTTGTGTACAAAAGTCGAGATCGTTTTCATTAAAAATTTCAAATTATTTGTATAAAAATAAAATATAAAAAAGCAATATAAAGCAAAGTTATTACAAGCCACTTTTTTGTGGTATATGTTTCCAGGTATTTAAAATTTTTAAAGTTTAACGCCCCGTATCTCGAAGATGAAACTGTCTCAGACACATGTATATAAGAATTTTTTATTGACTTGCGACGTAGGAAGAAAATATTCTTAAATTTGGATGATGAAGAAAATTCGTTTATTTTTTACATATATTTATTACACCCTGTATATGTAAGAAATTTCTGAATTTGAAATAGGTTTGGCAATAGTGCATCAAATATTCTTGAATGATACATAAAGGCTAATTGGAGAATATTAATTGAAATAAAAAAATATAGTCAACGTATTTCTGTGTACCTGCTCTGTTCAAAACTTTACTGGAAATGCCCATTATTGAATATTATGTAGGCTATTGATTACCTATGTCTTAAAAAGCGGGTTACTAAGGAACTACAACGTTGATGGGTTTTTATTGCATGAATCGTTCAAATGGTTATTCAGAAAGAAAAAACCGCGGAGTGCTATTAAATTAGAGGGGTGGAAATTGGGGATAGGGGTGACAATGCAACTCTTACGATTTTTTGAGTATATCTCGAAAACGAAGCAAAATTTGGGGGTACTGCATAGGAAAAATTTTTGTATATAATGAGATTTTCTATAGAAATAGCTTATTTAAAAAATTAAAAAAAATTATTTACTGCAAAACAATTTAACAAAAAAATGCAAAAAATTAATTTTTTTTGTTTTTTTTTACTTTTATGTAAATAACTTTTTTCTGAGCAGGGATAGGTATAGGCATTGCTTCATAGAAAAAAAAGTATATAATATTTCCTACAAAATAATGGGTTATAAAAGCTTTTTCGATGAAAATAGACTGAGTTATGGTCGTTCAAACATTGTCATTTTTTTCGGTTTTTACTGAATTTATGACAATATTGATTTAAATATCTTTAAAACTGAAAAATTAATAAATATAAATAAAAAATTAAAATTTAAACACTGTATCTCGGAAACGTCCCATATTTCGACCTACGTTTATATGAACTTTTTTTCACAAAACAACTTCGGCAACTACCCAATAAAATATTTCGTACTTATTTACAACCACCCTGTATAACCTATACGTTTGTTTCCCACAATATCAAGAGTTAGGAGTCTTGTCTGTAAAGGTCAGATATATTTTGCATATCTCGATTTCTGACATTGTAAAACATTCATTTGATAAAAATAATTCATTTGAAAAAGAATTAATAATAATAATAATAATAAATTCTTTCAGCCTGAAATAGAACCCGAGAGGGAATCTGTCACGAGTGTAAATAGCGAAATCTACGATCAAAACCACGAGTCCAAAGAGATATTTATAGAAGAAGATTTTGAGGCGAATCCCGCTGACGACCTCGAGACTGCAATAAAGCAAAAGTGGGAGGACATAATAGGCTCACAAGCCGACATAGTCGTCGCTAATTTAACAAAACTAAAGGGGCTCGGTATAAGCCTTGAAGGCACGGTAGAAGTCGAAGGCGGAGTAGAACTTAGGCCCCATCACTACATCCGCTCTATACTTCCAGAAGGACCCGTGGGCCAAAACGGAAAGTTGGGCCCGGGCGATGAATTGTTAGAGGTTAACGGGCAAAAATTGCTCGGTATCAAACACGTTGAAGTTGTGAAAATACTGAGGGAACTGCCTAGTACGGTGAGGTTGGTTTGCTCAAGGGAAAATAAGAATAATAGAGTGATAAATACGTCACAAGATCGAGAAGCTTTCGAGGCCAGGAATATATTAGGGGGGAGTTTGAAGAATCTACTTCCGCAGCCAGAGCAAAGGTTGATAAAAGCACTCAGTGATACTAGTCTTAATACATCCAGCACTGTTACAGGTAAATTTACATTTTTTTTTAACATTTTTCTCAGATTTATATGAACATGTTGCAATTTATAGGTGTACTGACCATTATTTAAATTAATTAGTGAAAATAGAGTATAAGTTCCAGTAATTTTAAATAAATGCACTGCAATATAATCACGAATTGTCACATTTATAAAATTTTAGGAAAAATTTGGGGGATGTATGTTTTAGTTAAAAAAAACTATAACAGTTTGGGAAAAAAAATCAGTGAGCTAAGGATTTGTAATTTTAATTTGAATTTTTAAATATACAGGGTAATTCATTAACAATGGGAAAATCGAAACCTGATGATACTACACGTGAAATGGTGACCATTGGTGCAAACATGCCCTATCTGAAAGTTGATAGTTTCAGAAATACAGGGTGTTGAAAGTTAAAATTTTCAATTGTTTTTTTGCGATTATTCTGAAAATATGTAGGTTAGGAACTTGAAAATTTGTGAAACTATATTTTTTAAGGCGACGAATAAGATATGTGTTGTAATTTCAACATTACTTATAGAGGGCGCCACTTACCACTAATTTTACCAAAAATTTAGTTAATAACTTTTTACTCTGTATGTCTAACATGAAACTTGATTCAAAACCTGAAAGAGCAATCATTTTTCCATTCTTGTTTCATTTCGGTATCTCGATCCGTTTTCGAGAAAAATCGATTTAACGAACTCTATGTTTTGATAATACAAGAAATTAAAAGCGAAACAAACAAAGTGTTTCTTCGTGTTATTACATCAATTAACAATAAAATAAATAAAATACGTAATTTTGATTTGAAGTAATTGTTCGAAGAATCCACCATTGACACTGATACACTTTACACGTTTTCTGGGAGATCTTCAAGTTTGAAACAGCATATTGGGATTGCATCTGACTTCATTGGCAGCGATTTGTATTCTTTGCCACAACTGTTCACGCGAGTCAATAGATTCTTTGTAAACTATATCTTTCATTCGAGACCGAATAGAAAAATCAAGAGGATTGAAATCCGGACTTCTGAGTGGCCAAACAAAAATGCTTACATGGCCAGTCCAGCGATTTGGAAAAACTGCATCTAAATATGCACGCACTGGCCAAAAAAAATGCAGTGAAGCTCCGTCATGAATGAACCACATGTCTCTTCTTAAATAAAGTGGAACTTCTTCAAGCCGTGGAAGCATTTTTGCTTGGCCACCCAGAAGTCCGGACTTCAATCCTCTTGACTTTTCTATTTGGTCTCGAATGAAAGAAAGATATAGTTTACAAAGAATCTATAGGTTCACGTGAAGAGTTGTGGCAAAGAATACAAATCGCTGACAACAAAGTCAAATGCAATCCCAATATGTTGTTTCAAACTCGAAGATCTCTCAGAAAACATTGTGTAAAGTGTGTAAGTGTCAACGGTGGATTCTTCGAAGAATTAAATTAAATCATTATTACAAATTTCATTAGTTTTATTATTTATTGTTAATTGTTGTAATAACTTGAAGAAACACTTGGTTTGTTTCACTTTTATTTTCTCGTATTATCAAAACATAGTGTTCTTTAAATAGATTATTTTCGGAAACGGATCGAGATTCCGAAATGAAACAAGAATACATAATTAATGGAAAAATGATTGCCCTTTCAGGTTTTGAATCAAGTTTTATATTAGGCATACAGGGTAAAAAGTTATTAACTAAATTTTCGCTAAAATTGGCCGTAAGTGGTGCCCCCTATGACCAACGCTGAAATTGTAACACGCATCTTATTCGTCACTTAAAAAAATATAGTTTCACAAATTTTCAAGTTCCTAACTTACATATTTTCAGAATAATCGCAGAAAAAACAATTTAAAATTTTAACTTTCAACACCCTGTATTTCCGAAACTATCAACTTTCGAATAAGGCATGTTTGCGCCAATGGTCACCATTTCACGTGTAGTATCTTCAGCTTTCGATTTTCCCATTGTTAATGAATCCCACTGTATACATTCTTAAGGCCCATTTATTAAAAAATATTTGACTTTCTTTGATTTTTACTTATTGGTCTGTGCACCTATAAATCGGAACACACTGTGTAAGTTAATATTTTTAGTAACAGATGAACCAAGCCTGCAAAAGGCAAAATCACGTTCACTGGAAGTGACAAATGTCGCAATGTGGTCCGAGGAAATAGAATACGTCGAACTAATCAAGAGCGATAGGGGTCTGGGCTTCTCCATTTTAGATTATCAGGACCCGTTAGATCCCAAATCGAGTGTTATAGTGGTAAGGAGCTTGGTGCCACACGGCGCTGCAGAACAGAACGGTAAAATCACCCCTGGGGATCGTCTGATCAGTGTAAATGGTAAAATTATCAAAAACGCCACACTCGATCAGGCCGTTCAGGCCCTCAAGGGAATTCCACCGGGAATAGTGAAGTTGGGGATTTCGAAACCTTTACCGACCTCGAGACCTGGCGAGACTGCAAGCAGTCAAACTGTGGAATCATAAAACTTCCTGTAAGGAACGTAGATAAAAAAATCAAAGTTGTGGGTGAGTGACTGGATGTTTTTGAATTTTTATGATCATCTCCGATAATTTTTATATTGCAAACTTTTCGGGTTCATTTGCGGAAATGTATGGTTTGTTCAATGCGTTTTATTTCCAGTGCTGGCGTTACCACTTAGATTATAAAGCCTCAATGCTTTGCGCATGACGTCACTTCAGTGGTGGTAGATATATCGTTCGGTAAAGCAATAAAATGAAATAATGACGTATTTATGTATAAAAAATGTATTGAAATAAAATAGATATAATACTATATTTTATTACAAGTGTAGAAACTAGACTTTTCCTATGCACGTTGAGAAAAGCAGCTTATAGATGAGTAACTGACGATATTTTAAATTATACCTCTCGCAAAATGACAACAGAAAAATAATAAAAGTGAATTGAACAAATTATTAAAGTACTTTATTTCTAAACATAAACAGAAACATCAAAACAAATACAGAATTTTTAAGTTAAACTGTTTCCTGTTAATGTTAACGAAGAATATTAACTTCTTTTGATAAGATTTGTAAAAAGCTTTATGGCCGATTCCACCTCAAATCATGTAGAGTTCCATGTGGACTTGTCACCAAGCTACTCCAAAATATTTTTTTATTGTTCTAGGTCAAAAATAAGAGGACCCCTATTTTTTCTTTTTCCTCTCAGACGCATAGTTCCATCTATTATGTACTCGGAAAGTGCATCACTTCATGATGATGCGAAATGTGAAACAAGCCTGTAACTTCTTTATTTTTTGGCCGATTTCAAATTTTTTTTTTATGAAATGTAGGGTAAAAAAAACTATCTAATTATGACACTGCTGCTTTTTATTAATGCAATACACGGTCAACTAGTGCTCGCCTAAAGGTATATTGACTTTGATGAAACTTGGTTTAAGGCGTTTTAAGGGATGCTGAATAAAAATACGTAATCTGTTTTTTTGGAAAAAAAATCGCTAATACCAATTAGCTGTTTTGATCTTGATGTGTGGACTCGTACTGTAAAATGTAGTAAAACAATTGTGCGCTACAAATGTTTCTGCATCAATTGTGTTATGTATCTTCAGTGTGTGGCCTAGCTTACTCAGATATTTAAAATAAACATTTTCTCTTGGTTTAACTCATGAAAAACTTATTGGAATTTTATTTTACTTTTTATTATATAAATTCAGGGTGATTCAGAACTTATCCAAAAAAAAATTTTGGATGCACAGGGAACTCTTACAAATACAATTTTGTAAAGAAAATTCAAAAAGGGCAGTTCGAAAATGACAAAAATATAGTTCTGCACAACACTGGAAACTGGTCCACTGCATTAAAAATTAAATTAAAACGATATTCATCAACTCCGGTTTCTATACACGCAATCCGTTTTTGGCATTAACTACAAAAAAACTATTGTAAACAATATCGCAACGACAATGTAAAATCGGATTTCAGTATTCGGAGTCGCTGAGGCCATGTAGCTCTCCATGCATATTTCGAATGACGTTAGAGACTACAATTGTCCAGCTATGTAATGGTTTAAAGTACTACAACTTCAATAATTTTTTTTCTCGGAAACTATAAGGATTTTACAAAAAAATTTTTTGGATAAGTTGTGAATCACCCTGTATATAATTTATGTGTACACACTGTTTTTTAATAAATATTTAAAGAACAGATACGGGTAATATAGATTTTAGATGATAATTTTTAGTAACCTCGCATTATGATTTTGAATTATGATGTTCTTTAACATAAGTCAAGTGGCAAATCTATTTTTGTGGATAATACGATGTGAAATTGCTTGCACCAATCTCTATTTCTTAGGAAACCAAAAACATGAACTTTAGCTCAATTTTTATTATTTCCTTCTCATGCACGTTGAGCTCTCTTCATCAAGCAACACTTCATCACAATCTCAAGATCTTCCACCTATGCCTAACCTCAAATTTCGAACTTTATTTAAATTAACGAAATGAGGCGAAGTATTATCATAAACATTGTCACAGGCAGAAATTATATTTAACATTTGTTTAAAACCGCATTTTACGACGTGATTAATCTTGTAATAGTTACTCGAAATTATTCAATTAAGCCAATAGCAACACGCGCGGGCGACTTCTGTCAATTATGGTTAAAATATGACTAAACCACTGGTAGTGACGTCACTAGGTGTGACGCGTCGATTATGAGGTTTTATATTATAGGCGGTAATAGTACAGTACAATCTGATTTGAAAAAATACATTGAAGATTGAACAAGCCTTATTGAGGATGAAATAACAAGAAAACAATAGTTACAAATGAAATATCAACATTTTGTATTAAGAGTACAAAACAAATTGAGTTCAAAGTTTTCTATCAAATTTCTCAATGCGTTTTGAAACATAAGGTTACATTTACCGGAAAGAATTTGTCCTTTCGCTTTATCGCAAGTTTTTAAGGAGACTGTTGTGAGAGATGTGGGTGAGTTAAATTAATATAAGTCGTATCACTATTTTTTCATTAGACACGGAAATGTCATATAGTATATGAATAAGGGTACTTTGATGGATTTTAGCACAATCAATGCTGCCTTTCTAGTAGTTACTCCATAGATCCGACACGAGGACTTTCAATATTCGGATTTACATAATATACCTAAGCTTTTTGGCACGTTTTAAAGTCAATAATCTTAAAAACAAACTACATATATTTAGTAGTTTAGTTAGTAGGGGTATATTCATAGTTTTACACATGAAAAAATAACGTTTCTTCCTGTATTATTTATCAGCACTATTTTGTCTTGAAATTTAAGTACTACTATGTTAGTGTATTGGAAAAACATTATATCGTGCATACAAAGTGCCGAGAAATATTTTAAAGCATGTTTAAAAAAGGTATAAGGTCAAATCTCTTTTAAGGAATGATCTGTGTGAATTAAAATTATTTTCTATTTGAAATTTATGCAGAAGACACTTGAACATTTTTTTTATGAAAGTGAATTCTTTTATTTTTAAATTTGTGGATGTAGAAACCATTAATATAAAACGTAAAAAGTAAATCAAGCTCAAATATTATTTCTGTATTGAGGAATAAGTAATGTCAATTTTTTTTCAAATTTAATATATTTTATTTTTAATTCTACAATTGTCAATAAACTAATCAGTGATCATCGTTATTTATGACCTCCTCCCAACATTCAACAAGTTTTTCAATGCCTCTTCTCTAGAAATCCTCCAGTGTTGACTCAAAAAACTCATCCAACCGAGCTGTTAACTCATTGTCGTTAAAATAAACACTGCAAAAGGAGTTTGATAAAGAGTAGAAAAGGTGAAAATCAGAAGGCGTGAAATTGGGAGAGTAAGGCAGGTGGGAGAGAACTTCCCAATTCAACTCTCGCATGCCCTTTTTAATGATATGTGATCATGCTTTATCATGTTGCAAAAAAAACTTCGTTTCGCCGATCAGGTCTTTTTGTTTAATAGCCGCATGGAGTCGACGCAGTTGTTGGACATAGAGTTCTGCATTGAGGGTTTGATTGTTTGGAAAGAGTTCGTAATAAATCCAATCCCACCAGACACATAACATTGTCTTTCGAGGATGAAGTTCTGGTTTTGTTCGTAGAGTTGCTTATTTCAAGTTCACCTACAGACACCATTTTTTATTCCCAGTCACAATACGATGAAGAAAACGTTCCTTACAACCATGTGTTGATCGATGACTACAGAATAAACCAGTGGAATTGCGAAGAGTTGATTCTTATTGCTTTCGTTCAAAACATGTGGGACCCAAACGACGAGTTTTTGAACTTCGAATGAAGGTGGTTTACTACTGTTTTGTTATCACATCCCATCTCCTGAGTTACTTCCCTTGTTGATTGTCTTGGATTTTCATGACTGACGGTGAGTTGATTCAGTTGCTCTTCATCAACTTCAGCAGGATGTCTGGAACGATACATGCCTTTAACGTTGAATTCACCATCAATACAAATTTCCCGAGGAGCTTGAGCGGCTTTAGCGTTTTCCCCGCCTCGATTAAAAACAAAAAGAAGCAAGTGCTGAAAATGATCAATTTTGTCAACTTGACATTCCATTTCAGATAAATGAAAATTCACAAAAATTAAATCTGAAGCAACCAAAAATTACAATTTGATAGAGCAATAATCCTTTTTCGAGTGACATGTCTCAATTTGACAATCCATTTAATTTTCATTTGAATTTGTAAATTTGAAGGAAACGTACATTATTTATTCCCCAACCCATCATTACCAACCCTAAAAAGGTATATTTGAAACTATAATTTTCTCAAAATTGCAACGCAATTGCAATCCTATAGGTATCTGCTGTGATTTTTTTTTACACATTTTATTTTACACTTCTTAAAATAGCTTACTGCTACATTTTTTTATAGTTACTAAAAATAAAGAGTGACCGCAAAAAACCTGTGATTTTCGCCCATTTTTTCACAATTCGCAGAGAATTTAAAAAAATACATAAAAATATGTTTTTGGTCACAAATGACTTGCCGTAAAAAACTGAAATGAGCAGTATTTAGTAGCCTTTAGTATTTTGAAAATTTTAAAAATCACCCCTACTTAGGGGTTGAAAAAATGCCAAAAATGAAGAATTTGAATATTACCAATTGATATAAAAACTATTCCAATGTGAATAATCTTAATATATATTTTTTGGAATGTTTACAATTATTTCTGATATTCTCTATTTTTGGGGATGACTCCACCCCCAGAGCACGCTTAAGGGTGGATTTTCTAATTCAACATGCTTATTTCAGTCATGAGAATAAATCTTTCTTTGTATCAAGAATCATTCGATAGAAAAATTCACATGCTAATAGATTTTATATTTATTGGTAATAATCAATTCTTCATTTTGGGCATTACGATGAGTAATTTGAGACCAAAAATATATTTTTATCTATTTTCTTTAGTTCTCTGCAAATTGTGAAAAAACGGGCTATTTTTACGGTCATTCTTTTGCAAGAAAAAAGTCTATAAATAATAATAATACATAAATTTAAATTAATTGAGAAACAGTTAAAAGAATAGAACAAAGAATAATGGAATTATTGAAATAATAATAATAAATAAATAATAATCAAGAATTATTGTTACATTTTTAAATTTTACTTACAAATTTGAAAATGAAGAGGTTTCATAAAAATTGAAAGCATTTTGGAGGATGTAGAATAGTGTGGTATTACGTCTTGAATTACAAAATCGCTAAAGGAATTTTTCAGAAGTTAGTGTAAATAATTATTTTAACTTTGTTTTTTACTTGCTATTTTAATGTCTTAATACACATTTAAATCAGGAAGCTCCAAATATACAGAATTCTGAAAATAAAGAATAATTGATAAAAAGTAATGGAAGATTTAAAAAATATCCTGATTCGTATTTCAGAATTTATAGTAATAGCATGTCCTCATCAGTATTCTTTTTTGAAACATTATAAGGCACACTGATCTGATTTTATCAGTTTGATATATTTTTACAGCAACTAAAACATATTTTTCTTGACAATATTTATATTGGCGTGACAACAAAAATATAATCAGGATACCCGATGTTTGTTTTTTGGTAATGCCTTTCTTCTAGTCCTCCTGCCAGGCAATATTTTGTCTACATGCATTCAGGTTTAAACTAAAATGTATCGGATCTGATATTCGAGTAAAACGTACATAACATTTTCAGTACCAATACAGTACTATCAGTATTGGAATAAAAATGCAACTAAGCAATACAGCACACACACCGTGCAATCAATTTTTGGGTCTCAACGTATAGACCAGGGGTTGTACTAGTATTTATAGTAATTGTCCCTCGTACTTAATGATTTTTATCCCAGTTAGGACTGATTTTATAATGATCTAAAATGTCCTTTAAATTTAATGGAGCTTTAAAGCATTGCCGCAACATCATGTTTATTTTAAAGTCGACTTTAGTGTGATTATGAAATCAGACCTTAGTGTTTTGTAAATAATTTTGTTAATACTGTTGATATATACTTTCGTCTTTAAATATTCTCAGTGGTTAAAGACTAGAGTGAATTTATAAATAATTTAATATTAGTGAAGTGATTCCTTATTTGTACTGTATCTCCTTTATCCTCATAAAAACTCTACCGCAGCTGTAACATAGGACAGCAGACTAATACTGCTTTATATTAGGAATTGATGATTTCATACACACTTGCTCATTACAATAAGATAATATTTATAATTTGTGTGCCATTTTGTTTGTGATCTTTTGCTTTTATTATTGGCTTCTAAGACTGATTTTATTATAAAATAGTAAAGCAAGTATATTGCTGTGAAGGATTTTATTTCAATGTGTTAGTCAATTATTTTTTAAATATAGTTGTTGTGATTAAATATAAGTAAAGATCCTGTGTTTCTAAACTTAACCAGTTACTTATAGAATAAAATAAGCAGCACACCTAAAATGTACAAGTATACAAATATTTTGTAAAAACCGCAGTTTTAAATGTACGACACAGTGTAATTAGAGGATTTCAGTTGAATAGATAGACTGAAAATTTAAATTGACCAAAAATCACTTTATATTCGATGTGTCACGGTATCTCACATCCTTTCAGTGTTGCATAATGAGATATGGCCTTAAAACTGGCTTTGTTTGTCTTGTTTTGGTAGGAGATGTTTTAAAATACTCATATCAGTGATCTCAGATTTATAGGGTAGAAAGAGAGGTGCTTTAAGTTGATTTGAAACCTGGACTTTAGGTGGATGAAAACAAATTTAGGTACCTACCTATCAATTTTAAACATTGCTCTTCAAATATAACGGTTTCTATTTTTAATAGTCACTACTTTTTTCTTGCCAGTTGAGCGAAAAAATTTTAAACTAGTCCAACTTTAGCCCATCTAAAACTTACCAGGTCAAAAATATCATATGTAAATTATTTTATATATTTATTTTGTTTTCACTGTACTTTTATATTATTGAAATAAAGGTTGTTTAGAATGACCAAAACTTCATGTTTTTTCTTCGTCCCCATCCTACTTTCGTTAAAATAACCATATAATGTTTGTGTAAAATAATTTATGTAATAAATAAATAAATAATACATGGTACATTTGTTACTGCCTACTTCTTTTGTAAAAAGACGCTGGTACAGCAACATGCTGATATCAACTTGTGTTCTTGGCAAGTGTTTGCATGGAGGAAACTGCAATCTGCAAATCTGCACTGTAATGGTAGGCGATCTGAAAAAAATTGAAAGAAGTTAATGCACCTGCAAAAGTATATACCTACAGGAATATCTTGTCATAAACAATTTTTGTATTTTGTAAAAATTTAAATAGTTGTCATAAACGTATTACATCTTTATAATAATTTATTGAAAGATTGAATTTTTGCCAGCCAAAATACAGGATGTCCCACGATGACGAGACATTAGACATATTTTACCGACTACTTCGATTTTAATTTTGAAAATTTGGGCAATAGTGTTTTCGCGCATGCCCTTCTCAACTAAAATAATGCAATATAGCAATTTTGGATTTTACGTCAATTTTTAGGTGAACTTTCATAAAGGTTTCCTATTCTTAAAGTTAGCCGTTTTTGATAAATTTAATTTTTTCCAAAAAAAAAATAAAAAAGCACTGCCTAATTCAAAAATATGTGTATTTTACAATAATAAAGTTAGAACGATAAAATTTATAGGGAACATAACTAAAACTTCAAGCTTCCCTGCCATAATTTCAAAACGACTTAATTTCAGAATACAGGGTGGTACAAATTTTATGCCGAATTTAATCGACTTTAAACCATCTTAACTTATTTTTTTTTAATGGAACACACTGTATATTTTTGCGCAACCTGATGAACAATTTTGTTCTTTTTCGAATGGTATCCGATACCCCTATACCTATCTCTTCTGGTTTTTAAGGTATTTACTGCTTTTCGTGCAATCAACGGATATCGCATAATTCTTGCGAGGATGGCTGTGAAATTTTTAGTGGAACTTCAAAACAAGCACCTAATCTGTCACCAGTTTATTGTTGTCAATATAACACATACAGAAATGTTTATTTGAGTACTATTTATTGAGAACAAAATTGTTCATCAATTTACGCGAAAATATACAGGGTGTTCCATTAAAAATAAATAAGTTAAGATGGTTTAAAATTGACTAAATTCGGCATTAAATTTCTACCACCCTATTAGAGTTTCATTTATGTCTCCTATAAATTTTATCACTCTTAACTTTATTATTGTAAAATACACATCTTTTTGAAGTAGGCAGTGCTTTTTATTTTTTTTTAAATTAAATATATCAAAAATCACCTAAAATCGACGTAGAATCCAAAATTGTAATAATATACAGGGTGCTCCATTTGAAATAACGAATATGACGTCAACTTCCGGTATAACCATTATTTTAGTCGAGAAAGTCAAAATTAAAATCGAAGTAGTCTCTGAAATATGTCTAACGTCTCATCACCATGGGACACCCTGTATGTGTATTTGAATTAAAAATGTCGTTGTCTGTTATGTATTAGGCATACTTATGTATAAGAATACCCATAAAATATGAATATACCAACTACCAACGTTTGCGTTAAATTGTTTTCTGAGTGTTTAACAATTTAAAAAATTTCGATGAATTATACGCCATGTATTGCTTTTACTTTTATCTATACTCGACGGCCAAAATTATAGATAGTGATTCATCTCTAGCTCTTGGACTAGTAAGAGGGATGAAGCGTGCCGGGAACGAAAATCCATTGGCGTGTCTGCGTAAAAGGCAACAAGATATAGAAAATATTGAAAAAATATAATAAAACATAACATCTAATATTTTTTACGGTTTGCTATAACCGGCACTTTGGTCAATTTTAATTATTACAGCATTTTAAAACGTCCCAGTTGTGTTTTTTTAATTTATAAATTTATTATAGCCATGGAATTAGACCCCTCGTCTACGCTTATGCTATGACGTTTCTCAGGTCGGGCAAATCAAGTCCGTTTACACCCACTAAAAAAGCATTTCCCTATTCCCTACCAAGTTCAAAAGACAGAGATAAAATGTAGATCGACGTTCAGTGTAACTCAGTCTATACACGATTATAGATTCTACCGATGTGCATGGCGAGCGGCACAAAGATAAATAATATTGAACCGTATAGAAATCATTTTATATTTTATACGCATTATGGTAATAGTGTTTTTATATTATGTATTAGTCACTCTTTATAATTTCGGCCGCCGAGTTAAGGCCAATTCCCACATAGCAGCGCCGCAGCAGCGCTGCGCGTCGCTGCAAATGCTGCTCCTAAAAATATCCATATTTTTAAATGGAACAGTTCCCACATAAGCAGCACAGCGCGGCAGCAGCGCAGCGCGTCAAAATTCAACGCCTTTGAGAGCGTTCCTTGCTGCTCTGACCTTCGTCGCGCTGCCAAGTGGACATTAGGAAGCAGCAAACACTGCTGTGTCTTCGGCAAATCTCGATACATATCGCTCACTATTTGGCTGTGGGAGAGGTACCAGACGTTTCGCGGTGACTGTTGGACTATGTAATCACTAATTATATGTAGTTAGTAAATGCAGGTAGTTTGATTTTGTTAGAGTAATATAAAATTACTGACAAAACTCTACATTTCTAAGTAGGAGTAAGGCAATATTAATAAATTATATATCTAGGATATCACTAGACGAGGAACTCGACATTTTGAAAATAAAATACGTTCGTTCTATTAGATAGTCGGAACACTACTCTTCTAAAATATTAACCGCTGCGCTGGTGCTGCACTGCTAAGTGGGAATGCCTACCAAGTTTTTGCATCGCAGCGACGCTATGAAGCGCTGCTGCCGCGCTGCTGCGGCGCTGCTATGTGGGAATTGGCCTTTATAGTACAATATCCATATCGTGCGTGGGTATCAAATTAGCAGCAAAAAAGCTGTTTAAAAATTTAAATGTATATACGTACGTACCATAAGGATTATTTGGATTGTGGCAGCAACAGGAATCGTGAAACAATTTGTCACTACAATAACTGTATACCGAGGAATCGCATAACGGGCATCGTCGTCGAAAAAGGCTCGCATATGGTGATAGACTCGAAATTCCCGCCGTATTGTCGTAAGGTGGAATGTCTAGGCCATTTCCATAGAGCGACAAAACGTTTTTTATGATACCATTAGCTGAAAAAGATACATTTTTAAATAAATAAATGCAAACGTAAAATCTCCATAACAAATAAAGAAAATAACATTTTATTTTTGTGGGAATTCCTTTATTTTTTAACGTTTTATGTAAAAATTTCGGAAAATATAGCCAATTATTTTTCCAAAACCAGAATTCAAATGTAAACATAAAAGAATTATAATAATTTGTATGATATCAGTAAATATACGACATTCTACAATTATTGTAAAATAATGTTACATACAGGATGTCGCGATTTATAGGCTTACAGGCCATTAAAAGAATCGGTAAGTAAAATCATTGTATAATTTACTTATACAATTGTAAAATACAAACAAAAATCTTTTTTTATTAAATAAACGACACTAAACTATACATAGTTAACTACTATTTACAAAATTGCAAATTCTAAGCCTATTACAATTTGTTTAGGTACTAATTTTTGAGACATTGTATTAGTATTTTTTTAAACGAAATCTAATGTTTAATAACATGTTCCTTATTCTAAAATATCCTGATAGCAAAGTTTGCTCTATTTTCGTTTATTAATTTTTTATTTTTTATTTAATTTTAATTATTGTCGAAAAAGTTAATTCTGTATTTTTCTACTATTCCTTTGTGCTTTTTTCTTGCTTATCTTTACTGAATAAAAGTAGGTCAAATCAAAGGTTATTCGAATAAGAATTTTCCAAGAATTGACACAAAAAAAATATAGTTATATTTTCTAAATATGCGCATTCTTAGTGCCCATTGAATAAAAAAAGATTTGCACTTCGCAAAACATTTATTGAATTTCCAAAATTGCAAATCTTAAACTCATTACAACTTTTTAGGTAGGTACCAATTTTTGGGAAATTGTGTTAGTAATTTTGTTTATCCTGAAAATATTTTAGTAACAATTTTGCTATAAAGATTTATATTAATTTTTAAGTTTTATATGCAAATCTAAAAATGAATGGATCCTGATCTATTTCTATTTATTTTAATTTTTTTTTTTTTTTTTCCATTTATTTATTTTTCTAAATTAATGTCGAAAAAGCTAGTTTTGTATTTTGTGAACTCTGCGCTTTTTCCTTGTTCATCGTTGGAATAAAAAAATATTAATACCTACAATTGTTCAAAAATTGCATTTTTCGATTTGCATTTCGAAGGAGTAATATTTTCCAAGTATACGCATTCTTAGACTATTTAATAAAAAATAATTACACCTATAAATCGTGAACACCCTGTATGATATTCTTAGAAAATTCTCCATTTGGGTGACTGCACATAAAAAAATAGTTAAGTATCAAAATTTTTGTTTTAATCAAAATTCACAATAAGTTACCTTCTTGGATGGAATTAAAAAACGAACTATATGCCACCATACTTACCAGACAGAGCGAATCCCACGGCAGCCAAAACAAAAACTGCGACACTCAGAAACTTCATTTTCGGTATTTGTTCGTACTTGGCGGCTGTCGGGGCAAAACTGACTTGGAAATATTTAAAATCGGAAGAGGTATTCGCATCTAACTGTATATGCCATCTTGCATGGGCGTTTTTATTATAGTTTTTTAACAAACTGGTAACCAGTGACGAGGCGCTTCTCCAATCTACGTTAACGCATTTTAAATGGGGTAACTGTACATTTCTGATTGATTTACTTTTTCATTCGGTGTTTTCGGAAACGAGAAAAAATTTATTGCACGGCGATTCGTTCTAGAGGTTACTCCAGGTGATGGTCAATGAATCTGTTTCATTGGGAAAAAGAAATGTACAGGGTGTCCGTTTTAACGTAAGACAATTTTTGAAGATATAAGGGCAAGGTGCAAAAATGTAAAGTGTGCCATGGAAAACAAAATATTTACTTTTACTAATGATGACACGCATTAAATAGCCTCAGAAAAAAATAGCGCAATTCTCCAATACATTTTTAATATTTTGCGCCTGTCCATCGCGTTAAAGATAATAAAACTACTCTTATGCAACAATATAGATATTTTATTTCAAATAAAGACATTTACAGCATTTTAAATACCCCATAAATTTGTTAATATACAGTGTATATCTAGTAGCTTTGCTAAACGATAAAATAATTTACAAACATATATACAATCTGACTTAAAATAAGTGTGAAAATGATTCTGCTGGTTGTTTTGCAGCCTGAGTTTTTAAACTTTTCCTTCCCTGAAAAAAAAAATAAAATAAAAAATCTCACATAGATTCAGATATATCCGAAAATATTTGAAATGTTTTCATATCAACAATAGACAACGCATATATTTTTTTAAATGTAATCATGTGGTAAAAATTTTGGAAATATCCTAGCGGTAGAGAGGTTTTCTATTGCGCTAATTCCTGACGTCATTTAGTGCGATTGAGAATCGAAAATATGGAATGACATGTACAGAACGATCCGACAGCATGAGCATAGGAACATAAGAGTCTAGGGACAGCCACATTCACTGTTTCGAATCTTCCAACAAGCTCGTTTCTTTCGATTAGTTTCCGTCACTTTGACATGGAAATTATATACTAGAACTAGACGGTAGAAGTCGAGAACTATCGAAACAAAAGTTTATCCAACAAAATGTAAGATTTTATTTAATTAAACCTTGTGAAAATGCCATATATCCCTTATTTCCGATGATATTAAACACAAGCTAAAAATTGTACAGAAACAACAGAATAAATAGATAATAAATAAAGTAGAGCGTAATATTGACTATATATGTATAAAGTCTTCCTAAAATTAATGACCAACCTAATAGTTCCATAAACTTTGTTACTCTTCATACTCAATTCATATTATAAGTCTTGTTCGAGCCATCAAGTAAATTTTTCTTTAAAATCAACGTCTTTTTGTTTCAAAGGTCGAAAAATGGATTTTTATTCCAATGATTTATTGGTTCTGTAGAATGTAACATGAGATAATAAAATTGTTTCATATGTATTTACAGAATGCACAATCAACTGAATAAATTGTCGATATAATTTGTTAGTATCAGCTGTTGATAGTGTCGTCGATAGTTCTCAACCCCCACTAGATGACAGACGACCAAGAAGCGGGTTTCAGTTACTAGATGACTAGTGACTGTAAATCAGGTTGTGTTCTTGGTCGCACCTCACTCAACGGTCGCACTAAATGACGTCAAAATGCATTAATCACATGACAACATTTAAATTTTTACGGAATTTGAAACGTGTATAATTAACTTGTACTGTTAAAGAAATTTTTTTACTACTGTTAGGCTACAAAATGCAGTTCTAAAATTAAACTTTTATGCAAGTTGTCTATTCCTGTGGCTTCATGCCAATGACGGCTTTTGTTATCACCGTTGATAACTCAATGTATGTATGTACATACCTACGTAAACAGTTGACCATGAATTAGTCATAACAAATCAACATTTATTTATAGGAAACTACCTATGTGATTGCAGTTGCGTGTATTAGTGTAAGAATGTTTCGTTTAAGGGGATAATTGGAGGAATTTTTCTGTTAATTGAGAATTCAATTAACCAACTTAATAGATATTACATGTTCTCTATAATAAAAGAAATTGAAAAAGTATGAATTAAAATAAACGATTTAATGGATAATGATTAGAAATACATTTTATATACAGGATACATTAAGGTATTTAATATAAAAATACGACTGCAATTTGGTTTTCTGGATAATACCACTGCACAGTACAGATATAGCAAAAATGTATGAATGAAGTTATAATTAAGACTTATCTTATATTTTTATTATTATAAATGCCTATCTCATTAGGTATTAATGCTTAAACGCTAATACTTACACTTTTCTAGTACAAATTTATCACAGCAACAGATACGCAATCGACTGTATTGGTCACAACTGCTCATTACAGGTGTACAAAGTTGATTTCCAAAATAGCAAGTGTGCGGAACATATGGTAAAAGCTCTGAAAATGATTTAAAATATTACACATTATAGGAAACAAAGAATTACTATACTAGAAATATTAATTTAGTATTATTTATCTAAATAGTTTATTTAACCCTGTTAAAAATCATTTAACAGTTCCTACAGAAATTGGAGATACGCTTGAGCTGTCATGCAAATTGACCAAGACCTTATTTCTTTAAATTAGCAAAACGGCTGCTTTTTTCAGTATAAACATGAAATGAATTGTTTGATGACCTATAAAATTTATCTATATGTTAACGTTAAGCCAAAAAACTTTTTAATAAGAGAGATCATGTTGTCTATAATAAATAACACAATCTATTTATAACTGTGGTGTGGGTTATTGTGAAATCTTTTAGGTGTTTGTGACATAGTATTAGTTTTTTCTCGGTTTATATGGGTATTTTGCTACGTGTGAAAAAATACTCAATTTATTTTCGTTTTTACGGACATATTTTGAGCCATACTAATCTGGTGGAGCTTTGTATAGACCCTTTAGACACATCCTGTATGTTCAAGAATTATTTGACACACATATTTCAATTAATAAAATAATTAGTCTCTTGTAATTTCCTTAATTCTTATTTTTCTTTTGCAAAATTTAGACCAAATTCCACTGAATTATATATGACCGTTATATATACGATATTTTATATGTATATGTAGAATATTGATTATTTATTGATACATTTTTTATTAATTTCAATTCGTTGTTAAAAATTGCTTTTTCCAGTGTATTTATTAACGGTTATATGACATAATTTATCTAAACAATTTTCGCAATTATGTATTTCACTACAACTGTTCTTGTCACTTTAATCACGCATTTATAATTATTTTAAATGGGTATTTGTCCTTTATTCTGAAATATTTCGTTTGAATGTGAATGTATAATGTCGGACAAAATTATGTTAATTTTTAACAACAAAATCGAGGTCGAGCACGCAAAAGTAATAAAGATTGTTTATTTTCTATTTAGTAGCAATTTGCAGATATTGGAGCACCACATTTGAGTAAAAAAGTATTTTCACAGCGGACATTTGAAGGTTCTCTGTGAAAAAAATTGTTTCTCTGTTTTTCTAATTATAAGATTTAATACATTTCCTGTTTTTGGGTTTGTCAGAATTTTTTGACAAATGTGAATGTTATTTGATAAGCAGTCATCGATATATCCTTCTACAATGTCCTGTGTATGTATTAGGTTCAGGCAGTTTAAAAAAGTGCCTATTTTGCTTGAAATTTTGCTAAACTGCTATTAAATTAGATGGAATAGGGGTGAGATTGCACCCCTTTCAGTTTTTTATTTGTAGCTCGAAAACGAATCAAAATTTTGCTATAGTTCATAGGAAAAATTTTATAGAAAATTGAATTTCCCATAGAAAGGGCTTATTTAAAAAATTTAAAAGGAAAATTTTTTGCAAAAAATCAACAATAATAAACAGTTTAAAAAAAGTAAAAATAAAATTTTTTGATTTTTTTTTACTTTTTTGACTAATTTTTTTTAGTAGAAGTAGGCAAAGAAAATTGCTGTACAAAAAAACTAGATGAGATTCCCTTCAAAATGGTGCGTTTTCAAAAGTTTTTCGACTAATATTGAGTTATAACCGATTAAATATTTTTTTTTAGATTTTCGTCGTTTTTAACATAAATTTGAGTCAAAAAAGTAAAAAAAAAACAGTCTTATTTTTTGCATGTTTTAAAATTGTTTATTATTTATTTATTTTATTTATTTATAAAGGCTAGTGTTACATACACATAAAAGTGTTTACAAGCGTTTATTAATGATTTTTTACATAAAATTTTAATTTTAACTTTTTTAAATAAGCCATTTCGATGGGAAATTCAATTCTCTACAAAATTTTTCCTATGAACTATACCGAAATATTGCTTCGTTATCGTGCTATATTTAAAAAACAGCAAAAGTGCATTTTTACCCCTATCTTCAATTTCAACCCTCTAATTTAATAGCACCTCGCGGTTTTTTCATTTTTAATGACCCTTCGAACAAGTCATGTGATGAAAATCTTTGAACGAATCCTTTCTTTTCCGCAAAAAAAATGAGAATTAAAACGTATAAGGGTAAACGCGAGGAAAATCGAAAAATTGGCTAAGTTTGAGCAGCCATATATCAGTCAATTCTCATCCAAAAATACTGTACAACCTCTTTTTTTGAAGGAAATTTTATCTACTTTTTTTATGTCGCAATGTCTATATCTCTCTTTATTAAAAAAAAAACTAGAAGCAAAAAAGTAAAGAAGTAAAAAAATTGAATCTTGCTTTTTGTTCAAATTGTTCAAATTCCAACGATTTTTTGCATAAAACTTTCCTTTTAAATTTTTTAAATAAGCCATTTCGATTGGAAATTCAATTCTCTAAATAATTTTTCCTATGAACTATAGCGAAATTTTGCTTCGTTTTCGAGCTACAATTAAAAAACTGAAAGGAGTGCATTTTCACTCCTATCTCTAATTTCCACCCTCTAATTTAATAGCACTCCGCGGTTTTTTCTTCTAAAATGACCATTTGAACGATTCATGTAATAAAATATGTTGAACGTCATAGTTCCTCTTAAAATCCTATAATCAATGGCCTATTTTGTTTGTAACTGTATATAAACGTTCTTGTAGTATTATTTTTTGTATGTGGAACTGTAACAATCAATATGTTTCCTCCACTCCTCTATTGTCTATGTGGTCAAGTTTCATATTCAACAACTTATAATACAATGCTAATAAAAAAATATTGTTAATTCAACTTAACAATTAGTTTACCTTGATCATAAGAAATTCCTAATCAGGTGCTTTCTTAAAAAATTTAATACGTTGTTCTTGAGTCAAACTTTTAGACTTTTTGGGCAGAATTTTGTTTCAAAAATGCTCGAACTTTATGAAAATTATCAAAATTAATATTTTCCTTGACTTTAAAAGGGCTTTTTAACACTGAAAATTCAGACCATACTGTACCTGAATTTACAATCTTTGACTTTCTGATAAATACGCAACTAGTATATTTTATGTTAAGTTTTTGGTTTTTTAGTCCTTTTTCGGTTATTGAACAATTCATAATATATTTTCGTACCGTTGTCTTAACTTTGTAGGCAATAAATTCAGAAAAATATAACTGGCTTTCTCTTGCAAGTTCACTGGAGTATTCGTAAATTTTTCGTCACAGAATTATTTTATATTTAATTATATTTTACACTTTTGTTGTTTGTTTTGATTCCAAATATTGATTTAAATTGACATGAAAAATTATATAAAACATCGAAGTACGCAAATAACAATAAGCAAGTGTCCAGAAAGGTCTATAAATATTACTTTCGGTCTTATTTATAGGGTCAATATGATTCATTTTTACATACGCTAAATTATGAAAAGAATAAGTTCGATAACGCCCAGAAAATTGCGCATTTTATATTTTACAATTTTGAATTTTTTTACTAGAAATTGTTGAACTACGTTCAATTCTAAATAAAAAGGGTATACTTGTTACAAATCGATAAACTCAACTGTTTTCGAGATACAGACATTTTAAGTTTTTGAGATTCGACGGGAATTAAATTAGAAAATTATTTTTTCCAAAGTAGTAGGCATGGACATAATAAATTGCCAGCTGTCACTACAATACCATATTGTTTTCTACTCAATTTGATTAAGAAGTAGTTTTTTCCTTGTCGTTATTTTTTAGAGAAGAGAATATCTTAATAAAAGGCTAAGAAAGTGCATTGAAGTTGCTGGTACAGTAGAACCTCGATAATCCGAACCCCTGTAATCCGAACGCTCGATAATCCGAACGCCGTTTTGGGAAAAATAAAAATAGTATGTAATCAGAATCGCTCTCTAACTGCTACAGTGAACAGAGCATCACCGTAGTAAACATTGCATCGTGTGTGTTGTTATTGTGCCTGTGTTGGTTTTTGCCTTGGAAATAGTATGTCAGTGTTCATTTTCTGCTGCTACTATGCCTGGAAAGCACTTTGTTTGGTAATCCGAACGATTCGATAGTCCGAACCACCCCCGGTCCCAATTAGTTCGGATTATCGAGGTTCTACTGTAGTTAATAATTTGTTAAGATATGCATAATAAAATCATTAATTATTGCTGTAATGTTTGTCTTAATTCTTAATTCAGGCTTGGTATCTTAAGACCTGCTAATTTTGTAATTTAATTCCCGCCGAATCTCAAAAACTTAAAACGTCTGTGTCTGGAAAACGGTTTAGTTTATCGATTTGTAACTAGTACACCATTTTTATTTAGAATTGAACGTACTTCAATAATTTGTAGTTAAAAAATTCAAAATTGTAAAATACAAAAAGTTAGAGAGATTTTTACATTGATAGGACAGTATAACTAGCGCCCTCTAGACGTGACCCCAACACTGTTTGCATATTCGTATTTGCCTCCTCAAAAAACGTAAAACTACAAATTTTCAAAACAATCGGTCCATACATACTTAAAATATAGATAAAAAAGGAAAATATTTTTTCAACTTTAACACCCTGTAGAACGAAAAGGGGCAACAATTGACTAAAGCATATTGGGCTCAATCGCTCAATTTTGACGTTAACAATTTGCCATAGAGCTGTATACCATTATTAATGACTCACCCTGTATAATAGAAAATTATTTTAAAATGTGCAGAAATTAATTCGGACATCTTGTATGTATAATTGAAAGGATTTTTTATTTGCTTCTAAGGTAGAGCGTCGCATTTAATTAATTTCACATTTCAGTTAAAATTTGCTTTTTTTGTCAGTAAAAAAAAGCAACTGTAGACTTGCTTGCTAGGCAAGGAATTTGTTATAAATTTTGTCACACCAAAGTAGTTAAAATGAAGCAATTAATAATTCAAGACACAGCGTCAAATGAATACATACAATACCCCAGCCCTAGAAAACATTTTGTTAATTTATTTAATAACTCATCCGATAAGTTAAGTATGGCGTTCTACAGCGACATTTACTTTGTTTTTACGTGACGCGTGGGACAGAAGAACTGCTCAGCTTAGAACTGGCTTTAATTGGTGTTTCACTGATCTTCTGGATAATTAACAGCAATTAAAGAAGGCAGCGTTAAAACCACATGGGTTTTAAGTTGCCCTGAATCATGCGGAAAATTTAATCGCCGACTGTTTAAACGGGATAATATTGGATTTGTTTACACTGTGGTTTGTATAAAAACGATTTGTGTGTACCTAAAATTCCCCTAGCGACGAAGAATAAAAAACGTAAATCGTTATTGGACAGAATTTTTATGAGATTTAAGGAAATTATTCATGGCTGACTAATTCGTATTCATTCATAAATGTGCAATTGATTTACGTAAATCAAGGATACTTGAACCGAAACATATTTTCTTTAAAAAAAAATGATTGTAGATTAGGAAGGCAATGAACTGTTGCGTGTCAAAGAACTGGAATATTTGGAATGGAAATCTAAAAGACGATTCCATATCGATCTTAGCAATTAGTAACAACGCTTTAAGTGAACGAAATAAATAATAAAATCAAGTAGCCGGCAAACCGAAACGTTAAAATTTGTCTACAAGTAATGTTCAGAGCTTTCATAAATGATTACAAGCCACGTGACCAGAAATTTTCCTTCGCGTTGGCAATTAGGTAAATTTCGATAAATTAAAAATGATTAAAACAATAAGACCAAGATTACATTATTACAACACAAGTTTAACTGGCTGTGATTGGTCTCACTTTTCGCGTGGTTCTATTCAACCAATCAGCAATCGCATTATCTCGAGCGTAGTCGTAACTGTTTGTCATTGTTCATTGTAAACGAATCATTAATATTAGTGACGCCAAGATTTAGGAATTTTTCGTTACCAGTACCAGCCCTACAATGTTGGTTGCTTCAGGTCGATGGTCACGTGGTTTGGGAACATTTATAAAGGCTCTGCGTTAGGTAATAAAATGGAAAATTGTAACATGTACAGGGTGATTCACTATATTTTGACCTCCCCCCCTTTAACTTATAAAAAAAATGTGAAATATAAAAGTTGCACGATTTTTTATAAACTTTTCGAAATTGATAGTAGAAAAACAAATGAAATCCAAACAAAATGGCCGCGGATGTTAACTTTGTTAAGTTAAATGGAACACCCTGTATATTTTTACATATTTGAATAGAACGTTCCCTGTCGAGCATAGTCATATAGGGTTTGTTGGGTTCATCTCTAACAATAAGCAAGATACCATTAAAAAAAGAAAAGATGGTTTTTTATTAAGGAAATAATGCATCTTGTAATAATTGTTAGACCTCTTTCAGGCCAATTACATAAGGATTTACAGATTTAGTTATATTTTGATATATCGGACATTGATGCGGTCCAAAATGCGTATAGGTCAGGGGTCAGCAAACTTTTAAGCCGGAAGAGCCATCTGCAATAGAAATATCAATTTCATGAATTTCAAAGAGCCACGAATTTTTATTTCTGCTTTTACATTTTATTTCAAATCTAAATCAAATACGGAAGTTTATACGCGTCTTTATGTGTACTCGTGTGCTGCTTGTCTGTCCGCTTTAACTTTTAATTTTTAGAGGAACTTGAAGAGCCGCATGAGGCTCGCGAGCCGCGGTTTGCCGATCCCTGGTATAGGTAATGTAACTAAATATCACTAATTATAGACCGTGAGAGGTCTAATTACTCATGGACATTATATGGTAGGTCGTGACAGTGACAGATAGTAAGGTCTTGACAACATTGTTATTGACTGACAGTTTGTATTATTATTTAATTAAAATAGGTTACACAGAAGTAGAAAATTATTTAGAATTAAAATAGAGTATGGAGAAGAACTTTGCTCTATTTTAATTCCTATAATATATAAATTTTCTACTTCTGTGTAACCTATTTTAATTAAATAATAATACAAATTGTCAAACAATAATAATGTTGTTATGACATTACCTGTCACTGTCACAGCCTACTATAACATTGCCCATAAGTAATTAGGCCTCTGCTTTTTGGACCATATCAATCAAAATATATTATAACTAAGTCTGTAAATCCTTATGTAATTGGAAAAAGGCAGAAATGCCTGAAAAAGGTTTAACAATTACAATATGTCTTATTTTCTTAATAAAAAACCTTCTTTTCGTGTTTAATAGTATCTCACTTATTGTTAGAGATGAACCCAACAAACCCTACATGACTATGCTCGACAGGGAACGTTCTATCCAAATATGTAAAAATATACAGGTGTTCCATTTAACTTAACAAAGTTAACATCTGCGGCCATTTTGTTTGGACTTCATTTGTTTTTCTACTATCATTTTCCAAAAATCCATAAAAAACTCGTGCAACTTTTCTATTTCACATTTTTGTATAACTCTTAAAACAAAAAAGTTAAAGGGGGTCAAAATATACTGAATCACCCTGTATTTTACAGCTCAAATTGATAAAAATGAATAACCCAATTTTGACTATTGATAAGCAGCTAATTACACATTTTAACGAAATTAGTTCATAATAATATTATACAGGGTGTCTCAGTGGTCATACAGCAACCATAGGTACATCAGGTAAAAATAATTGATTTTGTCAACTTACCTTAGTCCGAAAATGATTGATCTAAGAACTGCATTTTTTCAGGGAAGCAAATTGAATCTTCCGTTTTCATTCGACACCTAGTAATTTTAAGAGAAGTTTTTTGTGTGGTATTAACAGATTATTTAGAAATGCAGCCGTTTTATATAGACGAAAAAAATATTTTTAAAAAAGAGTGACATCCTCCGTAAATGTTGATGATTTCTATTGTCTCCCTCTTATGACGTGTAAGATGTCATACGTCAATTTTCAAATATTAATGAAAAACTGTTTCAAATGTAAGATCTTAACGCCCTGTAACTTTTAAACGAAGCATTTTTGAACTATGGCAAGTTGACTTACATTCAATTGTATGGTCAGTTTTCTGGGACACCCTGTTTACAATGGTGTCAAAATTAATGTTAAATGAACAATTACTCCTCACCATAGCGCTTGTCGCAACAACAGTGATCATTAATAAAGTCAGCTCCTAAACAGTATCTTTTCTCCTCGTAGGTGCATTCTTGACATCCAGGAGCTGGAACAACTGAAAAAATAAATAATAATATGTATATATACATTCTATGATTTGTATACCGTTTTTGTTACACTGGATGTAGATTCGTGCAAAAATTATGAAGTGTAAGTATGAAATCATAGATACCTATAATTCGTACGAATGTTTGACTCAAATAGTTCGTTTTTGTCAGAGCATTGACATTTGTAACAATCAAATGTCAAAGAAACTGTATTTCATTTATTGCATATGAAATACGGTTATCGTAGGACCAAAAATATACAGGATGGCCAAGTATGTTCCGATAATAAAGAAGGTTACTTTTTTGTTGCTTCTAAGAGAAAAACTCCGTCTGAACTTAAGGCATAAGCGACTTAATTTCCGAGTTGCAGGATATTAAATTTTAGAACAAAACTCATTTGTCTATACAGGGTGATTCACAAATGGCCACCAAAAATGAAACCTCATTCTTTGGTGAAAGACGAATTAGAAAATATGGTTATGCTATTAAATATTACGTTGTTAACAAGATATTCACCAATCTGATATTCGTAGAAATGTTATTATAAGTTAAAACTTTTGTAAAACTGTTGAAAACCTAATTTCTGTATAAACTTCCATTAATAAAATATATTGTTTCTACACTTCACCTATCCAGTAACATATGGAAACATATTTAGATTTCGCAGGCCCATTAAATTTAGCTAAGATACGTCAGAAGTATTCAAACGCCTTAAAACATTCATATAATTTGAAGTTATCCATTCAATCTTCAAGTTGATGTTGGTTAAATTTAGTTTAAGTACCAATGGAACACAAGTTTAAATATACACTGAGGAAATGTAAGAAGCGGTAATAAACTGTCGATCTTTGATTAATGGCGAAAAATGAAATCTGAAATAGCCACGAAATAAATTACTGTAATTCGTTGATATTATGTTACTATACAGTGTGGACCATTTTAGTGATTCATGTGTATTGGTATTTTGGAAACTATAAAACATAGGAAAATGGTTAAATGGAGAACGTTTTAGACAGTTCTATTGCTAACTTAATGACGCTTGTAGACCGGTTTTTGAGTAATGTTGAAAAAAAGTAAATGTGGCGTTTTCGAAAATCGTCTGTAACTGTTTTATCTAGAGGAATATTTAAAATCTCAAAACACTTTTTCAAGTTTTTTAGAGGAATTTCACTGTATTTAGATCATTGCGACGGCGACGTTTCTGTTGCGAGAAACCATCATCAACTTTATTTTTTCTTATGGGCGCCATTTTGCATTATTCAGCTGAGCAAATAGAGTATATTTTTGGCTTTTCAATGATATAAAACGAAAAAATTTCGAAAATAACCTCAAATCAATATTTTAATTTTAATATTTTTAATAAATCTGGCAACGACGCATAATTTTTAGAATCCATTATAGAACAGTCTCAAATTTTTGTAAAAGCTTACCATAAATGTCATGGCGTTGAGTGAAATATTTAAGCTTTGCGTTATTCCAAAGAAGAAAAATGTTGGAGTGCTTTATTAAAAATAATACAAAAGTAACTGGCTTTAACATACTGGAAATTATTCCGAAAAACAACCACCAAATGAAATGCATTTTTATTTACAGAATTTTCGAAAACGCCACATTTACTTTTTTTCAAAATAACTCGAAAACCTGACTAGCTAGGAACGGTCTGCGAGCGCCATTAAGTTAGCAACAGAACTGTCTAAAACTTTCATCATTTAACCATTTTCCTATCTCTTATAGTTTCCAAGATACATGCATCACCAAAATGGTTCACATTGTACATATACACCGGAGCAAATTAAACTGTAATTGTAGGAGGCTGTGGTTATACGCAAGATTCGACGGAGTTAATATCGAAAGAAAAATGAACTATTATACTGCACAAAGGGAATTTATTATTTAAATAGACAGGTACTAAACTGTTGCAGTTAGATATGTTTTTAAACAAAGTAAGCCTTATTCAATTGTTGTTTATGTAATCCCACTTCGACAGTTTTTTTCAGATGGAAGGCATTTGGTGAAGGCAGCAAATTGGCATTGTGGGTATCTCGTGATCTCTTAATTAATTGAAGCGACAGCTATATTAAGCCAAGGCAAGTCTAGTTAGACTATTTACTGTATACGCAAGGCGAAACCACGATTTCTACTAATAGGTCTTTATTTTTCCCATCGGACTATTGTTCCCATATTAGACATTTAATTTGGAGCTAATTACTGTGATATTATTGAAACAGTACTGTATCTAAATAATTATAATATTATACAGGGTGTCCCAGAAGATGTGGGCAATCTCTCGGGTTTATACAGGAGACGTTAAAATATCCTGACAAGTCTCTATAAAATTTTTTTCTAGAGGGACCCCCTACAGAGATACAGCCTCCTAAAGGACCTTGTCGTCCTTGAAAATCTATTTTTTTTAATAACTTTTAAAATACTTGTGTAATTTAATTATTTTTTAACACGATGGACAACAGATAAGACTCCTTAAAAATTGACCCATGAATTTGGCTTATTTGGTTTGCCAGGGGCGGACTAGCTGTAGCACAATAATGTTAATTTTTTTACACCCTTAGACCTCTTTTATGCACGCGTTTTTCTCCTCTCAACGCGGAGTTGACAAAAACGCCGCGTTTCAAGATACCCTGAACAGAGTTACTACGTTTATGCATTTTACGCGCGTTTATTTGCTCTCGCGTTTTCAATTCTGTCGCGATAGCTTTACAGAACGCTTGGCGACACGCGTTCTGAAAAAGCACGAAAGTATATCGGCGTTTTTATGCATAGCGCTCTTTGTCGCAAGTCCAGTGGCTCTGTCTGTCAAGAATAGTTTTAGCACAGTTTGTTTTAGTTTTAGTTTAGCTATTGATCAAGCGGGACATGGATGCAATGGACACAATTGAATTCTAGTTCTATTAATTGGATGTACTGTCCATCGCCTCTTACGTTTTCTATTACATATTTTTTTATAGCATAAATACAATATACACGGATCCATTTTCATGTACTTCACTGACTACTGTGTGGCATGAAACTGGCGACAACTGATAGAATACGCGTGCATAAAATGGAGCAGAAATATACCGCGTTTTTCTCAATTTCGCGTTGACAGGAGAAAAACGCGTGCATAAAAGAGGTCTTAACGATAAAGGCACAAAAATAATATTTTTAGATAACTTGAACCTTAAACTAAAAAAAGGCGCCCTTGGTTGATATCGATAAAATGAACTTGTTTCGAGAAAAAAACTGTTTTTGTTTAATATGATTTTTATTATATCCGTAGAGAGAAATAACCCGATGAAATTTGCATCTAAAAAATGCCACTTTTATTTACATTTGTTTTTTCCTAAAAATAATTAAATTTCACAATTTTAAAAGTTATTAAAAAATATAAATTTTAAGAGATGTCCTTTAAAATTTCCGTTTGGTTGTGCAATTTAAAATTATTGTTAATTTTATATAAATTTTATACATAATTTAGGTATAATTTTATATTGAAAATGTATTGTGTTTGTTTGTTTTATACACAGAAATAAACAGAATAGTTGCGCCGAGAGACCTGTGCCTTCTCTCGGCGTGAAAAAAAGGGGGGAAGTCAAATGACAAAGTTTACGTTCGACAGTTTCGGAATGAATGGTATTCGGAGTATAAGTGGTTGTGTAGAAGTGTTTATTTAAAAAAAATTGTGTGTATGCCGTGTTTAATTGTGGATGTAAAGTCGGGCGTGTGGAATTAGAAGGTATTTAACAATTTTGGAAACGTCACGCTAGGCTGTCGTAAGCGCGAAGCTTCTTTGGAACATATGTTCGCAGAAGTCCACGAGCCGAACTAATATTTTTATTTTTTACAAAATCTAAATGAAAATCCTTCTCGCGAACTAAACTGCAACTAAAAATGTATCAGATTAATTTAAAGCCGTTTGACCTTGAAAATTTAAAAAATTCATGCCATGACTCAATTGAAATGTTAGCCTCTTCTGCAATATCTCTGACAGTCAATCGACGGTTTGCTCGCACCAGATCTTTGACTTTCTGAACGTGGGACTTGAAGTAGAAGGCTTTCCTGGTAGAGGATCATCTTTAATCTACTGACGACTACTTTTAAATCGTGAAAAACATACGTAATATTGGGTACGACCCAGAGCATCATCTCCATAAGCTTGTTTCAAAAGTTGAAATGTTTCTGTGGATGTTCCCCCAGATTTACACACAAAAATACTCAAATAACAATATCACGAAAACTAAATGAGATACCAACAATCCAAGAACATGTGGTTACAGAGGAGGTCATGCGCAAGGCAATGCTGCCAACTGCATATCACTAAATATCTCCATTAACGCCTAATTCAAAAAGCTCTGTTGTTTTCTGAACATACCTCGTATTTTACAATGCTTTGTAAAATTTTACAATAGATGACCAAACTTTACAAGGATAATATTTTACATTCATTTGCAATATTTTACAAAAAATGTGGTTGTAAAGAGTAGTCTTTTTCTACATAAAGGAACCTAAATGGAATTATGTAAGTATTGTAAGAAATTGCTAATTTTTAATTACGTGGAATATATTTGTATCCTTCCTGTGTTGGATCGCATGCAGCTAGACTTTTTACCCTTCCAGGAAGAGTGGGTTGACCTCTCATAAAAATTCGAATATCGATTATAAGAAAAGGACGACAAATAAAAGTATTCCTTTACTTTATCTTAGGCTTTTATATTTTTTACGTCAGTGAAATAAAATCAGACTATATTTGCTATATTACACTGCTGAGGAAAATAATTGTTTTAAATAGAAACGTCATGTTTACACTAGAGACCAACACGACCGTATTTGTGCAGGTTTCATCAAAATTAATTAAAGTGAATAGCGAAAAATTAGTTTCTTATCAGAAATTGCACTTGCAGATTGATGTGGAAATGATGTTTTTCAATTAGCAGCTACGATTGAGGTCAGCAAAAGAAATTACTAAATTAAGTTGTTTATTGGAAGTTTTCTAAGTTTAACACGGATCTTTAATTAATTTTTTTGTAACTAAATATTTGTAGAGTACGTATTTGTAAATGTACAGTAGGTGACTCATGTACACTGTAGTCAATTTTACCAATTCTTTTGATTTATGAACGCACAAAATAAAAATATTCTTCTAATTAAATACATTTGGGATTTTTACTTCATAAAAATTCAAAAAACTAAGAGAGGACAAAACGATAGCCAATATAGAAATCTAGTAATAAAAAAATAACTTACTCGACTCCAGGTCTGTAGTGAGAGCCGAATTCCTGGCTTGTGTCGACGATATTTCGTGTTCTATGGTGTACTCCTCGTACCGTAGGCTTTTATCGTATTCCACCACTGGTGTTGAACAACCATTTCCCAACACGAGAAAAAATATGACTGTGGTTTCCAAAGATATTGCAAGCATTTTTCATGTTGGTCTCAACGAATCGTTTCGGTGGATAGTATCTTCTGTCTTAAACCAAAAAGTTTCAAAAATCAATGAAACAAGTAGCAATTGCTTCTTAAAAAAACTCAAATTCCATCAATTTATCACGCAGAATATATTTTATATGAGCTTATAGTTTCATTACAAATTTCTGTTTGGAAATGTAAAAAAAAATGTATAATATTATATAACTGCAACTGATTTATATCATTGGGGCGTCTAATTATTATTAACAGCAAGTCTCATTATTAAAACAATGCACACCAATAAGGTAACAATTAAAAATAACTCCAAAGAATCGATGAATCAGTATAAGCCATTTTAACATCCATAACAATTCAGAACATTTGCGACTACGTCATTACTTCCAAATGTTATCATACCCATTCAGTTTGAAAATATTTGCAATATTTTTAATGCTGTTACAAAATTATAGGGGTGCCTTATACCGACATCATAATGTAAATATATATCGTTTGAAAGCCGTTTAATATACATATTTCAACGAATTGTATATTAAAGCAACAACAACTGTATATTAATTGACGTTATTATCACCTATTAAAACATACTTCAGTAGGTACTGCAAAATTCATTTATCTCCATTGCTTTTCATATAAAGAATTTGTTGATTTATTACCAAAAATAAAAATATATTATTGAAATATACAGGGTGATTCAGTCATAATGTCATTAAAAATAAGTAGAATACGAATACACCATTAAAAAATATATTTTCAAATCATTATTTAAACCCCTTTTCGCACCTCTCCTGACCGCTGACCTAGAAAGGTTTATCGAGAGTGAATCTTGACCTACCGTATTCGGTCACTAACCTAGCTTTTACTGCGTTTTTAATAGTGAACGACCTACCTAGACACATGAATAAATAATATTCTTTTTTTCATTTTAAATACTGACAAGTATTATTTATTTTGTTAATAAAAACAAAGGTATAAGGATAATAATTGTTTTGGAATGGTAGGTTATTTATTATTTTTAATGTTGTTGACGTTTTCACTATGTTTTATAATTGAATATGAGTTTTTAGTATTATGTTCAGCTAAATATTTAGTTTGTAGTACCTACGTATACCTTATTGTCTGACTTATTGCTTTTCAAAGAGTAGTATGGTACCTACCTATTTAAAATTAGAGTAAAAACATTTATTAGTCCATAGTACTTTATTAATAAATTTCGGATTCGCTGCACATTGGTTTTGAAAACGAACTGGGGAAATCAGCTGTTTCGCTTCAACGTTCGAACGTTTTATAGTCTGCCGGCCGGGCGTTCTCTGTTGCGAAGTAGGGCGCCAACTTAACGGGAGTTCAGGGGTAATTTGCTTTAAAAGGTCGAGGAAAAGGAGGCTTTATTAGGCCTTCCGAATACGTGATTAAAATTAATGGCATTATCATCCTACATATTAAAAAAATATATTGAAATACAATTGACGATTCTGGTGTAATAGTATGTATCATAGGTATGTATAAAGGGTGTTTCAGAAAAACCTCCCGTAAATTCAGGGGGTGATAGTACGACAAAAAATAAGAATTTTTTGTCTTATGAACTATATATCTCCTCTTGTTTTCGAGATACAGAGTGACAAAATAAAACTTTTTAAATAGAATTTTTACGGTGCGAAATATTTTTATGAAATTTGGTATTCCGGGGTTTTTAAGGACGCCAAATACGCTGGTCTAATTATTTTTTGTATATTTTATAAAAGGCGCTAGTTATTCGTAGCATTCGGGCCCCAATTTCTAATGTACAATTTTATTTTCTAAAAATAATGTGCTCTTGTTAGAACTTCCTAATGGTTCTCGAGAAAAAAGGCTTTTAATTGAACTCTTACAATATTACGGTGTAGAAAATAAGTGACTTTTCACAAAGTAGGCTTATGTCAAAACTTATTGATGGATGTCGCATACATTTTCAGTTATATTTTAAACTCTAATTAACTTTATATCAAAATTTTAGTGACTGTAATTTGCCATTACTAACTACAGTCACTGACAATCACTAAAATTTTTATATAAAGTTAATTAGAGTTTAAAATATTACTGAGAATGTATGCGTTGTTCATCAATAAGTTTTGACATAAGTCTATTTTGAGAAAAGTCACTTATTTTCTTCACCGTAATATTGTAAGTTTAATTAAAAGATTTTTTTCTCGAAAACCGTCCACATTAGTAACAAGAGTACATTATTTTTAGAAAATAAAATTGTACATTTGAAATTGGAGCCCGAATGGCAAAAAACCTAAGCTAAAAAAAATTGGAACCTAAAATGTAATAGGAATGTAGCGTAAGTAGCGCCCTCTATGAAATATATCAAAAAAATAATTAGACCAACGTATTTGGAGTCCTTAAAAACCCCGGAATACCAAATTTCATAAAAATATTTCGCACCGTTTGGAAATTTTCGTAAAAATTCTATTTAAAAATTTTATTTTGTCGCTGTCTGTATCTCGAAAACAAGAGGAGATAGACATATACATAGTTCTTATTTTTTGTCGAACTATCACTCCCTGAATTTACGGGAGGTCTTTCTGAAACACCTGTATATTCAAGGAATGGAAAAAAAACATTTTTTAAGCTGGTATGGATACATCCTTATCATTCACAAAATAAAAATGTTTAAGCTAAACAAATGGCCAGAACAAACACCGAGTGCAAAAAACCAACACATATACGGTGCAGGAACGGGATAAATGACATAACTTATCCCATTATTGATCAGTCTATAGCAAGGGATAAATAATTTTATTCTACAATATAATCCAGTCGCTATTAAATCCACAGATCCCATATTTACGCCAAACAAAAAGATTACATTTTTAGCCTACCTATCTGTAGAAATCTAATTTTTCAAAATTATGGGCTTATTCCCTTTAATAATAATTAAATTTAAAAAGAGCAGGAATAAAAAGGGAATGATTTTTTAAAATATTTGTCAAATGGGGAATAAATCCTTATAGATTTTAAAAATTTCTGCAGGTCCGGCTCCAGGAATATGAGGAAAAATGAAATTTTGGATGGCAAAACCAGGGAAAGTAAAATTTTCTACGGTAGAAAGTATTAGATACTTTTGATGTAGAATTGGCACAAAATGGTTAATATATTTTAATATTATATTATTAATTTTAATATTTTCTGTTTTACAGTGAAATGAAAACAACATTAAAAATACCGGTTGTAGTTTCAAGTCCACTAAAAATTAGTTTTCATATTACAGTTTTCTTGAATTTATACGAGTCTCACAAAATATTGTCCCGTTTAAAAAAAAATGTAAGAACATACCAACGAATAAATATTAATAACGTTAAAATAATTAATTCATTAATTTTAATTGATATACTTACTTCAGTAAAAAACCGTCCGTTATCTTTGCATATCCGCAGGCACACCGATACGTCATATCACCATTTTTTACGGAACAAAACTCAAAAACTTAAAAAATGAACGAACCCAGAGCGGACTAGCCGTTACAATATTGTTTGCTGTTAAAACCTAAAAGTCAACTGACAGATATGACTGTTTGCTCTAGGGCCGTCTTCAGACGGCTTATCTGTAATTTTTTTCTAAGCTTCACGCGCGACAGTTAAAAGAGCGCGGTACATGCATTCAATTGAGGTCAAGTCTGTCGTACAACTAGCCCCTAACCATTACAATATAGTACTGAATTGACAACGCAATGCCTAGGGAGTTGCGAATGCGATCATGAATAGCAAATATAGTTTTTCCGGTGACACATGCGCGGCCGTATACGTTACCAACACCAACAGACTGTTTCGGCCTTTGGGGGGTAGCAAGGACAACGACAGTTGCCCAAGCCGCGAAGGGTTAGGGCCCTATCATGCAATCAATAAAAGTGGAAGAGGAAAACGATTTGGTTCGGTTCGCTGGCGAGAACTAGTTAAGTAAAACACAATAATTTTCCTAATACTTTTATTTGTATTCTATTATTAAGCGTACAAAGTCAGATGAATTTTTTTTTCACAGGTTTGCAGAGTGGTTTTTCCACCCTCAAATTTGAAGCAAATTGTGCAAATAAATTTCAAAAATCCAGTAATTATTTGGGTATAGCACGATCCAGTGAAAGATTTTGTTTCTTTATTTTTTGGGTATTTTGCCACCTGTGAAAAAAAAAATAAAAAATTTACTTTTATAAAAATAGTTTTGTCCAACCAGAAATCTCACATTGAAAAAAATACCCAGAAAGTAAAAGCAAAAAGAAAAAAAATTTCAATCAATCAAATAAAAAATACTCGAAACTCATAAAAATTTTCAAGGCTTAAAATAAGTACTGTTTCAAACAATTAAACTATTAAACTAAACAATTAAAATTTTATCCTCATATGCGGACAGTGAAGAACGGCGAAACGTTTGGAAACATTGGATGCGACTAGTTGCAGAGGTCACTGCGGAATATTTCAGAATAAAAACCGAAATGAACATTAGGGCAGGCCTAGGAGTTCTAATAGCGGGTTCGCCCCCACAGGTCTAGCGCGAGAACAACAAGGGCAAGTTTCCTAGCTAAGGCTAAGTAAGTGAAAGATAAGTCTGCAATTGGCGGCGATCAGTTAAACAGGCCACGGCATAGCGACCCGAAAGACCGTTTATATATGGACCTTTACACAGTGTGCCTCGAAGAAATGCATACAAAGTTTCCTTTCAAATAAAAATCAAAGATTTGTAGTACCTGTCGCAAAACAATAACATAATTCCATGATTAATATGCAGTTTACTTCAAACTTTTGAAGTGTGACAAAACCCTCAACTTATCATAGGTTTTATAAAATTTTAACAATAAATGCGATAGTTATAAACAAATTAAAAAATAGGCACTTTTCTTGTTTTTTTGCAATAACTTTTTTGTTTATTAACCGATTTTAATTTAAGATAATTGTAGATAATTTTACTCTCTATAAGCTGTCTGTGAGTCACTTTTCGCTAAAATTGATGGTTTTCCCTGCAAAGTGAAAAAACTGTTTTTCTCTCTTATTTGTTTAAATAGAAAAGTTAGCTAATAAAAGTTTTTGACTCACGAGATGAAAGATGTCTTGTATTCTGTTCCTGTAGAGAATTTTACAATAATCTTGCGGATAGGACTTTTTTCGAGTAAAAATTTGATTTGCTTGGTCTATTTGTACCAGTTTGTCTTTTAACTGAAAAACGAAAATAGTTTATCTCAAAACAATTTTAGTACCAAATTACTCAAAAAGAAGTGCACAAAATGTATGTTTATTAAAAAAGAAAGATAATATATCCTCCACCTAAACACTTATTATTTTTTAATTTTAGTTATAAAAAAATTGTTATCTACAAACATTTATATTAACCGTCACTAGAAGAAACATTACAACTAAATTTGTTAAGTGGGTGAGTTATGTATATTTACAAATATATATATCTATATACTACTTTTTGAATTATTTGTTATTTTTTAAAATAATTTTCAACTAAACATTTACTCATGTTAATGTTATTTTAAACATTACTTCTTATAACAGCTTTTAAAACCCTGTTTATGTTTATGCAAACATAAATTCTAAATTATATGAAATCTGAATTATTCCAGAATTTCATTATTAGAAATTCGATAATCCGGAAATTCTCTAAAATAAATGTTCTTTTTTTACCTAAAAAGTTGGTCCATATCTAGGTATATGGGTATTACAAAAACAACCTGTAGATATATGGAAACTACCTAAATCAAATTTACGATGATTTTATTTCTTGTAATTTTAGTCTACTACAGTAGCGTACCGCAACTAAAATGAAAAGTAATAAAATAATATTTAAAACAGTTTCCTGTTACATATTAAACAAAATTGGTGAAGGCGTTCAGCTAAACAGTTAATCCAAATATTCTCTAGGAATTTGCTACAAAATTTTACCACAGCAATGAAATAGTACATACATTATTAACAGTAATTGAGTGTTGCCAAAAATTAAGTCCAATTTCGCAAGGAAGTAGCATTTAACGTGCTTGCATGACCTGAGTTAAAATCTACGACCTTTTTAACTGTTTTTAGAATACTACCATTATTTTTTATGTCTGACCTTTTTGGTTTTTGTACTGTTTTCAGAATCAGCATACAAGAATCCAAGTTATTGTTTGTAATTTATTTGTGACATTTTCACTTAAGCCAGTTAAACAGTAAATTCCAAAAATTTTCTACTCTTAATAGTGTAACAAATCCCTTTCTAATATCTTACTGCGCCACTGTATAGACTAATTTCAATTTTCCGACTTAATGCAACGTTTTGAAGGTTCCTATAAAAACGTAAACCAAATACCAATGGAGCATGACGTGGCATTATTAATTTAGTACAAAACGTTAAAAACGCAAATTTATAAGGTCACACTTATTGTATTCCTATAAAACAATGAGAATGTAAATGGATTCGGTGTATTTTGGAAATTAATTAGGTATGTATCGTTGATGTATCTTTCTCGATAATCATCAATTTCCAGTAAGGTCCATTTTTTAAAAACGAAATACGTATTTTTAATTTCTTTTATTTCTTTTAACTTGTTAATTTAAAGCTACACAGAGAAAACTACTAATATATTTGCAAAGGCAGACTGTGTATTTCAGTAATAATAAAACGATGATCCCCATAACTGAAATCTGAAATTAAGAAGACTATTAATATTAAGATCGACGATTTTTACTTTGTATTGATGGAAATGTACCAAGTGACGATTTGGTCTTATGAGTAATTATACAGGCTGTTTCAGAAATACCTCCCGCAAATACAGGGAGTGATAGTACGACAAAATAAGAATTACTTGTTTCATGAACTATATGTCTATCTCCTCTTGTTTTCAAGATACAGAGCGACAAATTAAAATTTTTTAAATATAATTTTTACGAAAATTTCCAAACGGTGCGAAATATTTTTATGAAATTTGGTATTCCGGGGTTTTTATGGATGCCAAATACGCTGGTCCAATTATTTTTTGGATATTTCATAGAGAGCGCTAGTTATGCTACATTCCTATTACATTTTAAGTTCAAATTTTTTTAAGGTTAGTTTTTTTAACATTCGGGCTCCAATTTCTAATGTACAATTTTATTTTCTAAAAATAATGTACTCTTGTTAGAATTTCCTAATGTGGACGATTTTCGCGAAAATAGGCTTTTAATTAAACTTACAATATTACGGTGTATAAAATAAGTGACTACTCTCAAAGTAGGCTTATGTCAAAACTTATTGATGGATGTCTCATGAACAACGCATACATTCTTAATTATATTTTAAACTCTAATTAACATTATCACAAAATTTTAGTGATTGTTAGTGACTGTAGTGACCTAGTTAGTAATGACTAATTACAGTCACTAAAATTTTGATATAAAGTTAATTAGAATTTAAAATATTAAAAATGTATGCGTTGTCTATGACATCCATCAATAAGTTTTGACATAAGCCTACTTTGAGAAAAGTCACTTATTTTATAGACCGTAATATTGTAACAGTTTAATTAAAAACCTTTTTTCTCGAAAATCGTTCACATTAGGAAGTTCTAATAAGAGTACATTATTTTTAGAAAATAAAATTGTACATTAGAAATTGGAGCGTATTTGGCATCCTTAAAAACCCCGGAATACCAAATTTCATAAAAATATTTCGCACCGTTTGGAAATTTTCGTAAAAATTTTATTTTGTCTCTCTGTATCTCGAAAACGAGAGGAAATAGACATATAGTTCATAGGACAAAAAATTCTTATTTTTTGTCGTACTATCACCCCCTGTATTTACGGGACGTCTTTCTGGAACAGCCTGTATAAATTCATTCATAATATTAATTTTAATTCAAGAGGTCTTATTCATAAAAACGCATTTTTGGAGACAATTTTAAATTGCGTTTTTTACCTATACCTACTCCGCGGTCGAAATTATAGAGAGTGATTCAGACATAATATAAAAACACTATTACCATAATGCGTATAAATATAAAATGATTTTTATACGGTTCAATATTATTTATCTTTGTGCCCCTCGCTACGCACATCGATAGTATCTATAATCGTCTATAGACTGAGTTACACTGAACGTCGATCTATATTCTATCTCTGTCTTTTGCACTTGGTAGGGAATAGGGAAATGCTTTTTTAGTAGGTGTAAACGGACTTGATTTACCAGTCTTGAGAAACGTCATAGCATAAGCGTAGACGAGGGGTCTAATTCCATGGCTATAATAAATTTATAAATTAAAAAAACAAAAAATGCTGCAATAATTAAAATGGATCAAAATGCCGATTATAGCAAACCGTAGAAAATATTAGATGTTATGTTTTATTATCTTTTTTCAATATTTTCTATATCTTGTTGCCTTTTACGCAGACACGCCTATGGATTTTCGTTCCCAGTCCAAAAGCTAGTGATGAGTCACTCTCTATAATTTCGACCACGGAGTATAGTACAGTCTTTTGGTGTAGATACTATTATTAATTTCCATAAATTGACCGGTTGTATTCTAAAATATAGCAGTAATAGGAGCTGCAGTAGTCGTGGTGTCAATGGCGTGCTCAAGAATTAGACTGCATCGGTGTGGAACGGTCCTGAATACCTAGTCTAGGTATTCAGTTGTTAGTTCAAACCCCTCTCCTGCAGATATGTACCCTGGATAACAGTGTGTCGCGTGTCCATCAAAGGGTTGTAGAATAAGCCAAGAAACTGCGG